AGTGAAAATAATTAGTTAACTTTGAATCAAGTTATTTGTTACAATATTTTGTGTAACATTACTTTCCATCTTCAACTTATTATCATCACTTTAACGTGATAATGTTCATCAACATGAAAACAGATGAAATGAAGTAAAATTCATTTTTCCCCTGATGGCATTCAAGTGAAAGGAAATTGTTTCAACTTTTTTCTTTCTCTTCAATCTTTCAATAAATTTTCTGCCCAATTTTCAAGGTAAATTTTTTCACATTTAAACTGTCAAAAGGTTTGTAAATTAAACTCAACAATCTCTAGTTGCAATAATTAATGCACTGAAAGTGCTAACAATGGTTAGAGTCAACATTGAGTTGACTTTGTATTTCAAGTTTAAAGGTGTTTTTAGGTGAAAAAGGAAAGGTGTTGAGAGTAAATCAAAGGTTGATTAAAATAGGAACCATTAGTGCTATCAAGAGAATCATGAAATATTGAAAGATGCTTTTTGTTGAGCTCGTGTACGATGTTCATGACATTAAAGTCTTTCCAAATAATTTAGATTGCATGACGAGCATTAATATATAAATGAGTGAGAAGACAGAAGCAGAGGTTAAAAATGTTTGAAGATCAGACAAACATAATCGTCCCTTTAAAGGTCTTTCCCAATAACAGAATCATCATCAGCATAATCAACGCAAAACTCATTTAAATCTAGACTGGCAGTGTTTTCCAGGGAAACACACACAGATTGAGGATGAGTAGATGACTGAGATGATACAGTGATGATGATGATGAAGGATTTTTGTTGGCAAAAAGAGAGAAGTACAAATACAGAGACAGACAGAAGTCATTAATAATCTAGACATAAATTCATTAAGCTACAGAAATAAAAGTTGGTAATGAATTTAATGTCCAGTTGAGTTGGATGTGTTACCCATTGAGAAGCAAGTAACAGCCTCTTGAAACAGTAAAGGCAAAGGAGAAGCTAATTAAGAATAAATTGGCGAGGTATTTCCTTGCAACTAGTAACATCTTAAAGATGATCATCATCATCAACATCAGAATGAGAGATGAAAAAAAACCACTCCCAAGATACTCAAATATTTGTAAGTAAAGGCAGGGTCCAGACGACAGGGATTGATGACACTAACGTCAAACCTTATCAGCCTTTTATATTTTAACTCAGGGCATCGGCAAGTTTCTTATCAACTTGATCAGTATCAACATGAAAACACCACAAGATTTGTATCTTTCAAGAATCTTGTTTTTCCTTTCAATTCTAGAAATGAAAAGGAAGGAAAAGATTGTTATTAACATAATAATGTTGACGAAATGGTTCATCAGAATTATGATGGAAGATAAATAGTGATAATTAATGAAATTATAAAAGATCAATAATAAAAGGTTATAAAAGGTAATCAGAGAAACAAGTGATTCAATGTAATGTTGATGATTAAGGAAACCCTTTTCCTCTTGAATCAGTGTTCATTGAAAAGGTCAAGCAAACAATTATTACAATTACATTGTGACATGACTGGTAATTGTGTCTGGTTTATGGACATTTTTAATTGCCCACAATTAACCAGCCAAATTAACTGAACATGGAACTGAAAAGGCGTGAGTTGGCGATAATGATGGAGTTTTGGTTTCATTTGAAATCAATGTTGACTGGGAAGTAAAATAACCTCAAGGCAAATCAGATTGGCGCCTCATCAACATTGAAAATGATAGGATTGTGTAATCATGACGATGATGAGGCCAGGATGGAATCAGAAGAAAAGAAGATCAAGATTGAGATTGACTTTTCTCTTCTAGTTTCTAATAAAAGATGAAAAGTTTCAGCTTTTTATTTTTGCAAGTAAACTTAATATGTTGCCATAAATCAAAGCAACTTTCAGTTGATTGGTGAACCTTTCCTAATCAGGCTTTGCGATTCAAATTGTAATTAGTAGATTTGCTCAGTTTATGTTCATTTCATTGTGATTGATATGAAATTAAGTTTATAAGTCAAATGATAATATCAAATGATGTTACATTGCATCACATTTATACCTTAATTTTGGGCAATTGAATGTGAAATGGTAAAGATAATTTGAGATTTGTGTAGATTCAAGCTAAAATTAAATACGAAGACATCTTTTTTTTTATTGGAAGCAATTATTTAGCAACAATTAAGATTGAACATCACGTTGAATGAGGCCTCATCAAAACCCTTAAATTAATAGTAATTTTCATCTCAAGGTAAAATTGCCATTAAACTAGCCATTGTGAGAAATATAATTAGACTATTTGAATGAAAAAAAAGTCAATAAAATTGAGTTAATTTGGTTCATTGCATTGCATTTCATTTGATTTGTTTTATACACTTTTTTTATGGTCAACTTTTCAAATGGTGGCAATTAAAACATGAACTAGGAATTGCAAATCATCAATCAGTTGTGCTATTTATTGATTGATTTATTTGCCAAATTATTTGATTTCACGGAACAAACAATTTACTAAAAAAAGAGGTTAAAAAATTGGTTGAAATTTCACTTGAAACCTTTCCTTACAGGTTCAACAGTTTACCAGATTTGATGATTGTTATTATTAGTGTTTCCGTATGATTTTACTATAATCATCTTTCAACATAATCATCCGAGTTCCATGACAAAACATGAATAAACTGAAGAAGGTTGAGTGAATGTGAATCCATGAAAAGGTCAAAGTAAATCATTATTTAACGATAAACATGCGAAAAATTGTGATTTGATGAAAAGATGAAATTGTGTGGCAACAAGACAGTTATTGATTGGTAAGAGTTGACACTAACGATGAGATAATCACAATTAAGAAATTTAACGGTTTAATAGCCTTAACTAATGTTGAAAGTGTTCATCAGTAGCTTGAAATTGGGTAAACATGAATACATGAAATTGATAACCATTGAGTTTGAAAGGGAAAAGGCATCAAAGAGTTAGCTTTAAGCTGATTCACTTTGAATGGTTAAACGTCTATTTTTTGCTGTAACCTCAATGACACTTGTTTGATGATCACTAATTAACCCAAAAATGTTTTTCCCAATCTTTTCCCATTTGTTTATTGTTCAACATCAGCATTATTGATTGATTTGCAATTTTTACTAAACAATGTTATTTGAAAGTCTTGAAGTTGATGATGAGGCTTCTTTTTTTTTGTTGCTGCTGCTTTACCAGACCAAAACCTTGGCTTCATCATTTTCATCTCAAGTGGAAAAAGAGATGAACATGATGATAATCAGAATAAAGAAATGAATTTTAAATGAAAACAGCAACTAATAATAAGTCAACTTAAGGCGAACCTCTTTGGCTTATAACTCAATCAACTGTTGCAATGGTACAGAAAATATAAATCATTATTGATTTAGAAAATATTAAGATATTTCAATGAGTTTTGCTAATCAACAAAATGCTCAGAATCAACATTCAAATTCAACATTTCATGCTGATTGGAAAAGCTTATGGCTAAAAGGTAGCCTTGAAATGGTTTGGCAGGATCAGCATCAGTCAACTATCAATAAACTCAGAGTAAAATATCGGCAAAACTCTGAAAGTTCAAAAGGTTTAAAATAATCATGGATGGTAAAAGATCAACAAAACTCTTTATGTTCAGCTTCTGTTGGGTTTAATTTTGGGTAAAAATAATGAAATTGTCTAATAATTGACATTCACCTTTGATAGCAATGAAGTGATTTCAGTGGATCAAGAAAGGGTTTCAATTTGGTTAAGAATGATTTTTACAATTTAATCAACTGGTTGATTGAAAGGTAAGGGAATCAAACTTAATCATTGAACTATGTAAAGATGAAAACAGTTGATTGAATGATTGAAGTTGAATACAGCAAAAGATAATCACTAGAAGTAGCAATTGTGGTTTAAATAATCATAAAATGCTGAGCATTTGGAAAGGCCAGGTTCTGGGCAAAGTTGATCGGAAATAACTGATGTTCTGTCATGAATCTGACTGAATGAGAAAGAAAAAAACTGTTGACTTTGAAAGGATAAAAAGTAGAGAAGAAATGAAATTGAATTTGCAGACTGAATACATGCAACTGGTTGCAACCCTTTACTTGTGATCTTTTTAATCACCTTTAGGATTTATTGTGTTGTAATCATTATTATAAATATCATAAGATAAGAGGTAAAAATTGCTTCAAATGAGAGCAAAATTACGTGTTAACTGAATGACCTAGAAATAATAATCTGACTGATATCCGTCTAGACACAGAGTGAGATGATGGAGGGAAATGATAGTAAAAGGAAGGGAAAGTGTGAGTTATCATGAATAAAGCAGACAGACACTGGAGAAGTGTTAATTTGATTGTAATGTGTCTCAAGAAACAGGTTCAACCTTTTGTCTGATTGGTAAGGTATTTAATCATGATTCCGTATACGGAAGCATTTTGTTTTAACCCTTACGATTTTTGATGAAACACACATTAAGAAACTCTCATACAATTACTTTCAATATCTCTTCATTATCTAACTCTTAAGAAACATTTACTTTCGTTTCACTTTTTGCGCTCATCAACAGCATCATGATAGACATGGTTAACAACTATTTTTCAACCTTAACTTTCGTGACTTGAATTATTAGAAAGGGTTTGGGAGTGGGAATGTGAGATAAATATATATTTTATATATTTTCATTGATTAAGCTATTGTAAGTCTAGACAAATAAAGCTAACCAGCTTGGACCAGCTGAAAATTAATTAATGTAATTTTGAGCTTTTCTTTGCTTCATCATGCAGAATGTTTACAAACTGATTTAGCTTTAAATTCGTGGTGCAAATATTGATTAACTTCATCTCGATGAATGACCTTTCTCAGGTTTTATACATTATCTTTATCAAGGTCGAACAAAATCAATTAAAATAATGTAGGTTACTAGAGTGAGATGAAACAATTTGTTGTCTTGTTCAACAGACAAGTAAACCGAGATGAGGCTACATTTGGTGTAATTGGTAAAAGTGTCACTGGAATAATAATGATGGATAAATGGACAAACCTGTCGATAGAGGAAAGCTCTGGACGTTATTTTGAATTCATAAAGGTTTATGTTACGATAAGAAGGATCGATTGCTTCCAAAGGTTCCATATCGCATTGGGTTAAGGTCAATTGATCAATTGTTCGGGTAAAGTAACCGTCATAGTAGTAAGTAAGGCTTTTCGAGAAAGCAGCAAAATTGGTAAAATCATGGGTTCCTATGAATGATTGAACTGTTTCTTTCATCAAATCTAAATCAAGGTTAATCGGTGTTCGTAGTAAACTACAGCGATTCAGCTCATTGATGGGTAAATAACTTTCTGGTTGAAAGAAGGCTTGATTTGCAATTTCAGGTTTGACAACAGCTAAACGATAATAATAGGATCGCTGCTTAATATGTTTACGAAAGTGAAACTCTGGGGATACGAGGTGAATTTTGTTAAACCTGTAAACAACAAAAGAAACAATTTAAGGGTTATTGATGATTATTACAGTAATTATTATTAGTGAGTGAACTTGAAATTCAATTTTGGTGTAATGCAAGTTGAAAAGGGAGAGTAGAGTTGATGAAATTTGGTTTCAGACTCTTTTTTTTATGCTTGATGCTAACTGAAGATCATTGAGGGAAAAGGGAGAAAAAAATGTCTAGACATGTTTAAGTGAGTAGGGAATTTTTTTTTAGTTGCAAGATATTTTTGATAAATGAATGACTAAGGTCCAGGTAAAGGAAAAGGAATGTTCATTTGGTGAGAAGTTGGCAGTTGGATAAAAAAGGATTAATGGATTATTGAAATGAGAATGTTAATTTTGGACAAACAAACGAACAAAAACATTTCGCTTGATATTAGAGTTGACTTGATAATCGATTTTGAGAGGAAGATAAATGTTCATAAGATATGCTAAGTTATGTCAGACGATGTTAATGTTGGTGTTTATAAAGGCAGAGTTTTTGGGGGTTTGTTTGGTAAAATTGAATGGCAGTAGAATGATTGATAATTACTTAATATCATGGTTATGAGTCTTGAAATATGTATTGGCTGTTTCAATGATTTGATTAGGATAATAAGATTCTGTTGAGTTTGGATGGACAATTTTAATCACAGCTGAGTTCTCGAAAGCATGGACACCTTTGTCTGTTCTGCTGCTAAGCGAAACTTTTGCTTCTTGGCTTGGTTTTGGATTTATGGTTTCCAAGGCTTCCTCAATGTAATATTGAACAGTATTGTCCGTTGGGTTTACCTGGTTCTTTGGTTTCCTGGTCGTTTGTCTTTGAACTCCGCTGTATTTTGTGCCAATGTATGAAAATAAGAGGAGAAATCTGGATTTGTCAATATTCATATTCAGAGTAAATGAAAAAGAAGTTGGTTGATTCAATTTATGATAATAATCGATGATAATAATAACAATAAATATAATATATAATTGAAAAAGAAGGTTGTCATCAGCTGAATTTACCACTACTATCACAGTTCAAATAATGACAACAACAATTAAATACAGTTTTATTCGGTGGCGGTTGTATATAAGATCTTAAAATCTCCTGATCATCCTTGAAGGAAGATGTGTTATTTGGGTATCCATGAGCTTTAACTTGATGAAGATGAACACATTTGGCTGTATTTTGTTGTTGTAAATAATGGTGGTTTTTATGTGGTAGATGATGGTGAAAGTGATGCTTGTGCGGATGGTTATGTTGAGGTGGAGGTGGAGGTTGTTGATGATTACCAAAACACAATTTTTCAATCATCCCTTCAATTATATCAATAAGAAACAAAGAAATGATTAAATTTCAGGACTATTAAAACAAACACAAGGAGTAAAGCAGAAAAATACAAAATGTTACTCACAAACCGTTAATAAAAATATAAACCTCATATATTCAAACTCAACCAGTTTTAAAAAAGAAGCAGCATCATCTATTGGTAGCTGATAAAAACAAATATAGCTGGTTAAAATAAATTGCTGGCAATAGCAATGGATTGTAAATGACAGTTTAACTCAACAATTAATTTCATATCGTTTCGTTGAAAATGAGTGAACCAAAGATATAAAATTATTTAAGTACGAGAGAGGAGAGAACAGTGTTCAGTTCTTGAAATGCTGAGAGACAACAACAAAGTGCAGAAAAATTATAATAAGCTAGAAAGATGAGAGCAAATGTTCATGTCAATCTTAAAATAGTCCCGAAATTCAAAAAAATACTCCCCTGTGTCTAAGGATATTGAATTTTTAATGTTAATTATTGGATAATGCAAGTGATGAATGAAATAATTTTCACCAATTAATACAGACCACATTTAACTGAACAAAATACCTTGAAATGGCAAAAAATTATCAATAATTTGATGATTAATTTAAAACTGTTTCTATTGCTGTGTCAAATTCATAACATAATAATACTTTTTTGAAGTATTTGAAAAAGGAGTTTAATACTGACTCATCTTGTAAGCTTTTAATGCTGCTGGAAATGGACCTGAAAGCTCAGTAATAGCTGTTGAAGCTTAATCTGACGCTGTTTCCACTACACCGCGATTATTTGTGTCTTTAGCTACTACTGACTCAATAACTGTAGGTTAATCACTACTTTCTGGCTTCAATAAGATTCAAAGATTTGCATTGAAAAGCTAATGCTTCTGATTGGCTTGAAATGGACTGTACAAATATGTCGATTAATGTATTAACTGATCTCAATCCTGATATTGTTGAGACAATTTATTTGGCTGCATCCAATGAGAATGAAGTTAGTGATTCTTTTAATATTAGTAAACCCGATTTTTTCGTTCTTATTGAGACAACATTGCAGTCTGGTCGATTTTTGTGATTCAAAGGGTTAATATGGTGATAGCAGAGCTTTTGCCGGAGTCTTGTTGATCATTATTACAGTATCCAGCGTCATTTTAGTCATTGTAAGGGAAGACTAACACTTGTAAGCAATCAGAGTTCACAAGTCACTCTGAACATTTCAGCTTATTTTACTATTTGTAAATATCATGTTGCTAGTATTTGAATATTCAGTAGTTATTAGTTAGAATAAATTGGTGAAAGACATAAAAACAACTTTTAAAGGCAATAAATAATAAACTTTCAATTTGAATTTTTGTTGTGAAATTTTCACAACTGTTTCCAATTTTACCAAGATTTTTATTATAGATAACTGGAATCGATAGACTACCAAAAACGGCAGGAACTGCTCTCAAAGTTCTGATTATCATTAGGGACATTTTCATTATACTCTGAAATATAAAAAGAAATGGGTAAGAATCATTGAACTGAAATAAACAGATGAGATAATTGGGAAAAAAATTGTTCGCTTACTTTCACCAATTTCATTGAAGGCATTATTTCCATCGAATCCAGCCAGATAACCAACGGCTGCAATCAATTGCTTAAAGCTAAAGGGCAATCACTAGACTGTCCAGGTAATCAATTCGTTTTGTCTTTTAGCAGTCAACTTGTTTTTAAGATAAAGATGTCTGAAACCGGGTAAATTGGGTTGATCTCCGGGTAAAGTAAGTGATAGTTAAACCACTGCATCGAGAAGTTATGAGATATAAACTCGAGGGCGAAGCCCGAGAGTTTTATCTCATAGCTTCGAGATATTGTGGTTTAACTGATTTAAACCACTATGTAATCTAATCTCGAACATTATAACTGGCTCTGGAATAATTTTTCTCTTTTAGTGATTCACGTTCAACAACGCCCATCAACTCTGCCCATTTGTTGTGTTGAATGGGCTAATAACTTCATTTATGTCCAACAAAACTAGATATGAATAGGAATAGAGATTGCGATAGAGACAATCATTGTAAGATTTCAATTCGTTTTGTCTTTTAGCAATCAACTTGTTTTTAAGATAAAGATGTCTGAAACCGGGTAGTTACCCTAAACGTAGTGGTTTAATGGGTGTTAATTCAACGATCCCTTGGATTTGATAGTAATGTAAAACTTTGGATATGTTTGAATGGATTTCCATTTCATAAAGGAAAATCTTTTTCGCTCCGAGAATTTTCAACAGCTCAATCCATTCGATTAAACGTACACTGAGATCTTCATGTAAAAAGTCGAGACCTTTAACGCAAACGGCAAAATCTTGCTTAACTTCGGGTCGATTGTTGTAGACGCGAAGATTATTTCTAGGTTTTTGACACTTTGATTCAACCAAGGAAATGGAGTCGGGTGCGGGTGTAGTTTTCTTGGAATACCTTTTATCCTTGGTACTTTACAATTAATTACATAGGGTTGGAGTAAACCATCTTTGTAGTTGCCCCATTTAGAGTACCATCCATAGGTATAAGTGGCTTGACTAACAATGGGTCCTGAAATTTTGTCAAACCAGAGAAGACAATAAGTCGGAGGTGGTTTGACACGGTCAATCATGGCTAATATACCTTTCATGTAGAGAGATACGAATTTTCCATAATGTAATTCGTCAAAACTAGAAAGTATGAAAAAGTGATTAAATAATTGCATATGGTTGTTAAAAGTCGGAACAACTTACACAATATTAGGTGGATATCCGATCAAATACAATCTTGATGCTAATGCTTTACTCTTAACATAATATTAGATTACACGCGAAGAAAAAGGTTCCTATTATTGCATTCACATATGGTTCAAATAAATGATTTTCGGGATTTCATGTGCAACTCTGATCACATTGGTTTAATGACGAAAAATTAATCATAAGATTCATTTGATTTCCAATTCAGGCGCCAGCGAGATTTGAGAGCAAAGGTTTGTTTGATGCTTAATGGCAGTTCTCTGTTTCTGTTGCTGTATTATTCAGCATTATAAACATGTGAATCCAACCGTGCATGAAAACGCGATGAAATCGTAGCAGTCAATATCTTGCCGGTTTACGGTCGACTTACTATTGAGATAGCAGTACCCTGGTTTCAGTAATTGTTTGAAGGAAATAAATCTGACCACCACTACAGTTGTGTTCAATTAATTTTTGAGATAGATACTGTTAAATAATTTTAAAGTAATTCAAACATATTTAATATTATTTGAATGAAATAAATTTCTGTTGGTGTTGACAATAATCATAGTAATATGACAATAAGTAAACAAAAAATGAAATAAGGAAAAAATGTACAAAATGAAGTATAAATAAGAGCAATCATCTTTGGCATTAGAAACACAAAAAAAAGATTTGGTGGGAAGGGCAAATATTAATTTGTTTCTTTATGATTTGATTTGAATTCAAGATCATTTAGATTTGAATTGTATTAATAAGAGTTGGACATGATTGGTTATCAATTTGACTTTCATGGATTCCCAATTATCCAAATTTTGATTGATAACATCGGAGTTGACTGAAAAAAACAATCTAAATTAATATCGCATTCAAATTAACAATTTTGGGACAGTGTTAAGGAACTATATTAAGTAACATTTGACTAAGTTGAAAGCTGAAACAGCAGTTAATTGTGAATATTAAGGATAACAAATTTGATGGCTAACATTAATTGAATAGAGTAAATCCTAAAGGTTAACTAGAAATTTATGGTTCTTACAAAATGTATCAGTTTTGAAGAGTTGGAGCATTGACTACAAACTCACTTCAAGTTTTTGATCGGCGGAAATAAGAAAAGAAACTTTTTTCAATGAAACAGAAAAATAAATTTCTGGTTAATCATCAAGTTGTTTGCTGTAGATTAGATAACTGATTCTGAGCAAATTCAACTCTCAATATTTCAAAAAGTTGTCAATTCTTGGAGTGAATCACTTTCTTTCTATGGAAACAATGATTTATACAGTGTCATGGACCGGCGGAATAGAAATCCATCCATTTTACCGAAAAATTATCCCAATTGCTCTCATTGTTGCAATCAAATCAGAATGACTATTTCTAGACGAGAATGGCGATTGATGGTTGATGAAAATGTGCGATTTGAACATGACATTAGATGATTAAAACAAAAGTGGAAGAATTGATAATAAATAAAAGAAAATTTGTCTCGGTTCAGCATTCATTATCAAATAGAATCACATCTCTTTGAATCCCCTTTTAACTTTACGGAAAGTCATCTTCAGAATCTAAAAGATTGACTTTCTCAGAAAAGGAATAGTGATGATCTTCTGAATTATCTTTTTGTTTCTTCGATGAGCTTGATCTAGATTTTGTTTTATGATCGTTGTAGGCAAGATCACTTTCATCACCATCTAACATGGCAGTTGGATTTATATAACCCATGGAATCACCATCTTTGTCTTTAGACTTGAAACTATAAGAAAATGTTCGTTGAGTGAAAGGCCGTTTGTTTGAACCAGCGAATGGCTTTGAGTATTGTCCACTGGTTGAATCGGGCGTTAAAGCTTTAGTCACGACAGATGAATGGTATTGAGTGTAATGTTGGTATTGAGGGTGAAAATTATGGATGGCATCGTTCATAATGTCTTTAGGATTCATTGTTTCCTTTAAACTACTAGATATACTTTGCATGGTTACAGATTTTACGCCACCATCAGCCCAACCATTACCATAAATCTAGAGATAAAAAAGCGATTTCAAAAAAGAAACAAAAATAAAAAAGATGTTTAGAGATAATTCAATAATCTTTTAAGCTTGACAGTTATAGATCTCAGCATGTTACATAAATAGGCCTCGATCTTTAATCTGGTGAAAGATCTCAGGTCAATAACCAACCTTGTAAGGAAAAGCATAACGAAGAGCCAACGAGGCAAAGAACATTTCAACACAAATGAGAAAATTTTGATAACCAGCAGCAACAGTTCGGTTACTAGCTTTTGAGCCATCATAATAAAATTCAGGAAGAAGATCAGCTTTCTCCAGAATAGATAATATCACACCTGTAATTAAAGAATAAAACGGAAAAATTTTAGTCAAAATTATTGAAATTTAAGTTTCAATAGTTAACATTTCTAAATAGCCATTAAGCCATAATTTAGCGATAAATTGGTAATACTAGTCAATACTTTAACGATAAAAATGCAATTGACTTACCTTGCCAAAAAGATAAGAAAATAATTGATTTGACTGTTAAAAATTTCCAAACAGGATCATAGGGTCTCAATAAATCTTTTGTGGCTTGGAAGAAAAGTATTAACCCATAAAGGGCTAAAGAGATTGAAAAATTGTTGATCAAAGTGACGTAAAGATAAGTTCCATTCGGGCTCCAATCACCATCTTGATATTGCCCAAGAGCTTGGAGTATTAAAATAATGACTGACATGATGGGTTTGATTGCACAGAATTGCAATGTTGCTTGTTTACAAAAACGAAGAAAACTGATTGTATATGTTTTCCCTTGCAAACAGCAAGTACCATAGAGCCAAGTGCTTTCAATCGGACGACCTCTGATGTCTGACATGATGTTACCTTCACCTCCTAGGTATTCATAGCATAAAGCCAAGAAATTGTAAATAACAAAAGCTGTAGATGAAAGAAATAAAAAAAGATAAAATAAGATGGGTGGTGAATTTTATGTTCAATAATCAATAAAAAATATTGAACAGTGAACAAGCTTTGAAATAGCTTGTGAAGTCATAATTCAGTCTTTAGTTATCAGTTAAAGGTCGAATGTTGTTGATAAGGACAACATATAAAAATTGCGTTCAAAATAATCAAAAAAGTGATTGTCGCAATTTCTGACAAATGCAATATTGCAATATTTCACGAAAAAAGATCGATTGAGAAGATATGTTATCACAAGTGTTCATTGAATTATATATCACTCTGGTAGTGCTTATTAATCATAAATAAATAATGGAAAGGAAAAAACAAGATAGCAAGTTTAGGAATAAGAGTAAACACTCAAAAATATTTTCATGACTTTCTTTGGCATTAATTCACTCCACTTAAATGATTGAGTTGAATGATGAGAATATAACGACTTTCATTCTGTCACTAAATAGATAGTTTTTACATCAAGACCTCGAGAAATAGTAAATAGAGCTCTGACTAGCCGAATAGGTAAGATCTTCTTGAAAGATTTCCTTTTTTTTATCAATTTACACACTCCATTTTTTCTTTCCGGTGTTGGTGAACACGAATTGTACATCAAGACATAGTGTATTTGAATGAGTTTACGTACCTTCATACCAGTCTCTTATGGAATCGAAATATACATAATAATTGTACTTAAAGAATAGAAGACTCAACCAGCAATCAAATCCATAAATGGGGACAATAAAAGCAATCCGAATGATGTATTTTTGTTCGGAAGGCATAGTGTAAAGCTTCAAGTGTTGATAAATCTAGCAAAAGATGGAAAAAGATAAAATGCAAATACATTAGATAAACTGTTCATAGAGTAAACTGATTAGATATAAATGACAGATTGATTCACCAAATTGGGTACATATTGAATGGTTGAATACATAAAGATTTTAAAAAAATGGTTGAAGATCCCAATCAATAACAACTGTTGGTTGCTAACTAATTATAAATTATCAAGTTATTGCTTGATTGATCATTGTGAATGACCCACAATAAGGCAGGAAATATTTTGAGCTCGTAAATAAAAAGCTATCAGTAATATACTGATCTGAATCAATCAATACCATTTTCAAAGAATAGTTATAAACCCTGTGGCAGAAATGAGCTATTTAAGAGCTAGAGAGAAAAATTAAAGCTGAATATATAAAATAATTACCTGATGACAAGTTATAATTAAAGCCATCCAGACAAATAGACCAGCAATAACCTGAGCGGAAGCTTTCTGAAGAAAAATTGTTGGTCCATTAGAACCAAATATGGTTCTGTTTCCTATGTAATCCGAGATGATGATATTGGAAGTCATGATTCTAATCACAATTTTTCAATCATCGCTTCAATTATATCAATAAGAAACAAAGAATTGATTAAAATTCAAGACTATTAAAACAAACACAAGCAGTAGGCAGAAATATACAAAATGTTACTCACAAACCGTTAATAAAAATATAAACCTCATTCAAACTCAACCAGTTTTAAAAAAGAAGCAGCATCATCTATTGGTAGCTCATAAAAACAGATTGTTGTTGGTTAACATAAATCGCTGTTGTTAGCAAAGGATTGTAATTTTAGACAGTTTAACTCAACAATTAATTTCATATTGTTTCGTTAAAAATGAGTAAACCAATGATGTAAAATTATTTAGCACAAATTATTTAAACAAAAGAGAAAAGAATATTCTTAAATTCTAAGTGAAGGGCTAAATAATGCTAGAGACAATAAAAAAACGCAGAAAGACGACGATAAGTTAGAATTATGAGAACAATTGTTCATTTTAATCTCAAATCATGCCGCAATTCAAAAAATACTCCCCTGTGTCTAATGATATTGAATTGTTAATGCTAATTATTCGATAATGCAAATGATGAATGAAATGATTTTCACGAACAAATGTAAAACATATTTATTGAACAAAATACGAGGCCTAAATCTAACCGAATCTAATTTTGAGCTTGTTTTAGCAAATGTAACTCTTCCTCTCAATAAATCAACACCCATTTTTGTATTTAATAGCGATTTACCGACTCAGCCAATTAACACCAAACCTTGATAAATGGCACAATGACTATGAATCGTTATGCTTATCAGTATCCAATCTCATAATCGAAATTGCCAACAGAAAATTCAAGTTATTAAATCTTTAAATTTTACATCGCTTCCAGATGAGACCAAAAATTTTACATTTTTTAATTTTAAGCTTATTTTGTGTGATTTGAATGATGAATCAGTCAAATTGATACTTTTGCCTCAAAGTTCACACGCAACTCTGAACAAATTTATTAATGTAAAGTCTAGCTGATATTTAACTATTCATTAGTTAGAATGAATTTGCGTACGTAAAAACAACTTTTCAACGGTAATAAATAATACATTTCAATTTATTTGAGTTTTTGTTGTGAAATTTCCACAACTGTTTCCGATTTTATCAACAAAATTCGGTAATAAAATAAAACAGTAGAGTACTATTATTAGAGTACATAAAGTACTATTCTCGTAGATATTAACATTAATATTAATATAATAAACTATTTGTGTATTATAAAGTTCCATGTTTTGAGTAATTTGAGATTCTCTATTTGCTCGGTGGTAAGAGAGCCAGAGCCATAGCTTAAGGGTAAAAGACGAGTAAAGTAGTAAATTGCAATTGCGATGATAACAACACTGGAATAGTTGATGAGGTTGCTATTGATGAAAGTTTTTAGGTGGTCTAAAAGAGTTGCGGTGATGAGTAATTTAAATAATAAAGATGGGAGGTAATGATGAAGAAAGAGAGTTTTCTCAACCAGAAAGTGAGGAATAAGATTGATGAAATAACCCGTAAGGAGTATGAGAGAAACGTTTTTGAATGATGTCCATTTTTCTGAATTTGAGATAGAAAAGATTGAAATGAATTAGAAAGATGAAAAACAGAGTGAAAGTGAACAGAAATTATTTTCAAGATTTAATTTTCCAATCTTACCTTCAGATAAGTCTTCAAATCTACGACGTTTTCGCATAAGATAAAAAACAAAGAGACAGCAATAGGTGAAAACGGCAAATAGTGATAAGTACCATAGAAAAATATTTCCAATTAAATAAATTTGAGACTGAAAAAAAGAATTAAAGAATTGATCAGTCAACATAAATCTAAATTTACTCTGGATTAACAATTTCTTACATTAGTTTGCGAATCAATCCAATAAGCTATTCCTTTGGTAAGAAACAGCCAATCTAAAGGAGAATCACAAGCAAACATATGATCAGGAATATTTTCTTGATCAAAAGTTAGCATTTTGTATTGAAGTTCTTTCATTTTTTCCCAAAATGATAGAAATGTTGGGGTGAGAGGCACAAATTCAGCATCAACCAAATCTTTCTCTCTTTCCTTCTGATCAGACACTTTGGTGTAACGATGTTCTTCAACATTCCAAATTGTGTCATCTTGATTTAAAATTCGATCAGTAACAACTTCGTGTTGATTGAATCCCCAATCTGGCAATAATTTCCCTGTAAACTGTGAAAGAAATTAATGATTATAAGTTGGCTGACAAAATAAAAAAATAAACAAACCTTAAGAGCCTGAGATGAGTTGAGATGGACAAGACGAACTTTGGACCTAATTGTATGCCAGTAGCCATCAGTTTCGTCTTTATTGAGTAAATCAACTCGCCAAAGGTCTTGAGAAGCCATTGATATGTTATAATCGATGTAGCATGACACTTCTTGGTGTTGCGGTGACATCGGAGCAGCCACATCATGGCTATTCAATTTTCTTGAAGTCATTCCATGGATCAGTTGGACAACATCATCATGTTTAATTTTATCACGGGGCTCAGAAACAATCAAATCGTCTCTGTAATTTCGAAAAGAAAATATGTTAACACAAGGTTTAATACGAAATAATCAGAAATTAATTAGCAAAGAATATTAATCAGCTTATTTGTAATATAAAAATTTGTTTTCTTACACATCAGGTCTTTTCACAATCCACCAATTGTTGACATCTTTGAAAGAATAACAAGTCACTTGCTGCTGATGACTACTACCTCGACCGTCGCTGTATTTAACTGGATAAACTTGAGCATGAGAATGTAACCAACAAGTTCTTCCATGAGTATGACGTAAAGTTATTTGAGATCCATGGACGATTTCGAGGGGTTGACCTTTGGTTATTGAAGCTAATCCTCCCTGAAATTGAAATTAAAAACATCAGTTTCAATAGCTCCAAATGACTTCAATAATATAATTACCTCAAGACTAGCCTGAAATGCACTTGTCATGACATTATCATGTGGACCCGCCTTGGTTAAAATACTCAGATGAATATAGAATACTGAAGTGTATATAGTTAAAGGCCATACGATAAAAAAGAATAAGTAACTGATAGCTTGTAGCCAAAATTTTCTCTATAAGAAAAGATGAAAATAAAAATGCATAGCATTAGATATGAGATTTGAATTTATTTGAAAGCCAAATTGTGAAAAGTTACTCACAGTCGGGATTGATCTATCAGGCAATAACCACCAAAAGTCATGAATAATGATGATAATGGCAACAATCATAAAGTAAATTCCAACAAATTTGACACATAGTCCGAATGAAAGGAAAGTTGAAGCTAGTGAAAGCCAGAAAAACCATGATTTAGAAAGAATTGGCTTTTTACGCAATTTACAAACAGCAAATAGACCAAAGAACGACATGAAAAGAAGAATGCTTTCCATAAGAATGAATCTTGATTGAGTGAGAAGAGCATTTTCTGTTAAAGAAAAAGACAATTAAGTTATTAACCATTAAGTTATAACAATGATATTAGGAAATCGAGAAAAGCATTATTACCTAGTATAACAAAAATCGATGCAATTGCTGCTGTTTGATGACTGAATCCAAGCTCAGCAATTAAATGATAGATAACTGGAATCGATAGGCTACCAAAAACGGCAGGGACTGCTCTCAAAGCTCTGATAGGGACATTTTCATTGTATTCTGAAATATAAAAAGAAATGGGTAAGACTCATTGAATCTAAATAAACAGATGATATAATTCAAAATAAAATTGTTTGCTTACTTCCACCAATTTCATTGAAGGCATTATTTCCATCGAATCCAGCCAGATAACCAACGGCAGCAATCAATTGCTTACCCAAAGGAGGTGAAGAATCAAAGTAGAATATACCTTTCATGTATAGAGATACGAATTTCCCATAATGTAATTCGTCAAAACTAGAAAGTATGGAAAAGTGATTAAATAATTGAATATGGTTTTAAAAATTCGGAATAACTTACACAATATTAGGTGGATATCCAATCAAATACAATCTTAATGCCAATGCTACAAAAAATAAGGACCAAGCGACAATATTTATTTCGATCTTGACAGAAAATGGATTATCCGTTTCAACTGCTGTTACTGAGTTCAATTTAGGTGTTCCATTTGAAATGGTTTTACTTTTAGTGTCGGCATCTTTATCGACTTTGTTTTTCACTTTAATCTCTTTGCTAGAAATTTTGATTATCTTACTGATCTCATCAGAGTTTTTATGAAAAATACAAGTTTCTGTCATGTTGATTTCCCGATTTGTAAAGATATAAACACACACCAGTCTGTCAAGAATTAAGAATTGAGAAGAAGAAACGAATGAGCTCAGATTATCATTCCAAAAAAGACTAGAAAATAGAAATACACTTACCATTTAGAATATTGACAGATGAAGAGAAATTTGGTTTAAATGTAAACACAAAAGAAAAATAAAGATGAGCAAATATCGATCATGAGTTGAACAGTAAAAACAGATCACAAAACATTATGAAAAATAGACAATTCCAATGGTAACTTTACCATGGGTTAAATAGCATGGAATATGAAAAAAAGTTGAAAAGAAATAAAGACAATCAAGATGATGAGTTGGAATAGATCTTGAGGATGAACAGGTTTAAGATGAAGATGAGAAGATGAAGATGAAGATGTAAGACGGTTTAATTGACTCACTCAATTTGAGTAAATATACCTGTTTATCCAAACCAACAGATGGCTCTAACAGTTTTATTGATATTGAATGCTGAAGAAAGCGCCAAAATTAAACTGATTTCAACCCAAATATTAATTGTTAGTTGCGTCTTTCCAATTGCGGTTATCGTTACTCTACCATCACGTTTACGGCTATCCTGTCTTTCGTAGTTTTTACTAGCAACCGGGTGCTCTCTAGCAGCTCTTTCACGGTATATGCAGGCCTTGACATGGGAGTCATGGGTGGTTTTAGTATTGAAAACCATACTACACATAACACAATGCCACTTAATTCCCATTAAATCATAAATGTGCCGTAATGCCGTTTTAGCTGCCGCGGAATTTTTTTTATTGGGTTTAGCACTGCACTCTTTGCAAAGAGGTGAAATGCAAAACGAATAATTTTCGTAGGATTTATCTTTTATCAAATGTTCGGTCCGGATCAATTCGTTAAGCTGAAATTGTTGCCAAAGCTTACCATCAGGAGAGATGATTTGGTAGTCAGCCACAAATTTTGGCTTATCTTGCAATGATGGAAGTTTCGGAACAATATCGCAATTGATTAACTTTTTGATGTTCTCGCTGAAATAGCAAAAAAAAGATTAATCAGCTACTTAATTAATAATAGTATAATATACTTACATGTAATCAGTTGAACTTTCGAAAAAGTGACTTCCAGACTTCAAGCCAGCAAAAAATTTCACGGCATAATGAAGCAATAGTTGGTTTAATGACGATTTCTGAAGCCAATCCGAAGGCATTACCGTCCAGGCAAACATGTAGTCATATTCGGAAATCGTCTCAGCACTTGATGATGCCTCAACTCGAGTGCTTGAAGATGATGCTGCTAGGCCCTCTGATGTCGATCCAGCTGCCTGTGGAGTACGTGATGCCCCTGAGTTTGACTGTTGAGCTCGTGATTTGGTTGGTGGTGGACTTGCTCGTGTAGTACGTGATGTCCCTGAGGTTGACTGTTGAGCCGTATATGGTGCTGTATGTTAATCAATGTGGCATGACTAGAAGTCCTATCATGCCGTATATGGTGCTGTTGCATTCTCGGAATGGCATGACTAGAAGCTATATCGTGCCGTATATGGTGCCGCTTTGTTTGAATGCAGATTTTGCGTTTTTGCCAAGCTCTGCTCAGAAAACTGCACAGTATTCCATTACATATGCCGTTTGCATGAAGGAGTTTTTTTGCTATACTTTACGTTCCAATTCAATTTTTCTCATGTCAATGCATACTCTGTTGGAATATTCTGAATCTGCATAGTGCTGCAGTCTATCAAATTTTGTTTTTTCACGATATTAGTATTTCAAATTATTATTATGTGACACCGTCAATGGGTAATTTAGACAATAGGAATCAGTAGAAATTGTTTATTTAACTTAAAAAAATGTAAAAATATAAAATTCAATGATACAATTATGGAAGAGTTGTTTTAAGACGAGCATCCATCTCGATTAATAACTTTTTAAAATCAAGTTCTTTAGATTCGTAGTTGACTTACATTTCAGTCAACTGCACGTTTTTATTTAAAACCAACCTTGCAAAAATTGGTGTGTGGTCAGAGCCATTGTGGTGAAGTTGTTCTCCTGTATGTAGCAGGATGTTGCTGGTATAAAAAATGTAATCATACCTGCGTTGTCCTGCAGGCCCAGTATATGTGTGATTTGTTTGGACATATTTAAATTAATAAAAATCCTTTAAATTATTAAGCTTGCGATCATCTTGTGATTCATCTCGATCCAATTCAGCATTGAAATCGCCCACCAAAACGATTCCAGCACATGGTTAATGGTGTCGAGTGTCATGATCTAGACCACTAGTTAACATGCGTTCAAACACACAATGCAGGTGAGTCCAAAAGTTAGTTATTGTGCTTTTTTCAGGAAGCCCATGGACATTGATGAATCCAACGTTTATTTGATGGCTGATGGCTTGAATTTGGTGAGAAAGTCCTGTATCGAAATTATATTTTTGCCCTTCCACTTTTGTTAATTCAATTATTTACCGGCCACTTGCATATCTTGCTAGCGAGACCCTCCTCGAGACTCTTTCTTGAAAGTAAGTCGCTTGCAAGCTTAAAACACTAATTGACGCTTCTTGCCAACACATAGCAATTTCATTCAAATCTTTACAATGCTTTTGCATTTTAGACTTCACTGAAGTATAAGAATCCATTACACCACTAGCATTAAAAGTTAAACCATCAAACTCTTGCATGTTTACTAAAAACTTGAAATGTTGAACTTGAAACTTGAAATTAAAACGAATATGTTGTTGCTATTGTTTTAAGATGTTCTCTTGTAGGCACGTGGTGAAAGAATGAAAGAAACACAAAATAGCTAAGAGTAAAGTCGATTTATCGTTTATATTAGATTGTTACATATTTTGGTCATGATTTGAATTATCGAAAGAATTTTGAGAGTAGTTAATATTGAGATTGATAAAAGTAATCCCAGTTACAAAAAAATTAACAATATCTTGTATAATCACATTCATTCAATAATAAAGACGTATTCTATGCAGAAATGGTTATATAAAATTTATTTATATCTAAAATTTGTGATAAAAAAATTGAAGGATTATCTTTAACTATTAGACAATGAAGATAATGCACGAAAAATGTTTTTAACCATGTTTTGCACTAGTTACGGTATGATCAGCGGGTTTACATGCCGTATTTTTGCATGAGAAACAAATAGACTAGTACGATAATCTAAACATTAAATAAATATTTATATCGTAATAATCTATTAAACTCGTATCTTTATTACACAGTTACATCTTTATCATGATGCAAATCAGCCATTTTTCAGATAAAATGTCATTTCAGTCAACGCGTCAATAACTTCATCATTCAAAGCCGTCATCATCTTATTTGCCACAGTTCTAGCGAAAAAATCAAATTCATCTTCTGAAAATCCGAATTTACCATATTTTACGCGCTTCGGATGCAGTGCGTTTTCGTTTTGATGAACTGGGTTGTTGACTCATTTGTTGAGTCCCTGGGGAAGCGGAAAGCGATTCGTCATCTCTTGAAGGCTACAATGAAAAATGTAAAAATAGAAAATTATAAATTGTTAGAGACTTCTATGAATAATGCTTGAATGAACTTATGAAGCTAACATACCTTCTGTGAATAGGATCTGGTGTCAGATTTATCACCCGAAATATTTGTATTCTGCAAAAAATTATTGATTAGTAATATAAACTGTGTAAAAACATCGATTTTCTTACATGTGAAGACATCCTTGAATTCAAGATAAAATGATAAAACAAAAACTGAATAATTTTACCAAAAGTTGAAAATGATGAAATGCACATAATGAGACGGTGCCATCTAGAAGAATGAATCGATCTATCACTCGATAGATTGATCAGTCGATCTATCTTGAATAATTAGACAAAATACATTATTGGTGTAATACATACTACATAAATATTTCGATCAGTAATATATTTCATATCAAACTCGTGCAAATTGTTTGTTATTGAGCTATAGAGCATTCCTATGAAGAAAGATTTCTTCATTTCGCTCTCTAAGGTCAAATCAAAGGGTATAGCACCGCGACTGATCAGATCTTTCATATTCCAGTCGAGAAGTGATGCCTATTCATCAGTGAAAGTGAATCAAAAGTCTATTTGTATCATGATACAAATATACAAGTACATCAATCAACTTTAAAAAACTAAATTTATCGAAATCTAAAGTCTATTGATTGACTTTATTGTTTTAATTGAGCTGTTTATAAAATTTTCACTTGATGCAATTGTAGAAGCTGACGAACTGGTGATACCATCTTCGTCGTATGATTCTGCTAATGATATCGCACTATCGTTGAAATTTTCACAAAAAGGTCCATAATTTTTAGGTAAAGGTTTTTTTAAGTGAGGAAGGTGGTGGTTGTGATTTATATTGTGATGGTGAAGTGAGAGAGGAGTGGGAGGCGATGGAAATTTTTCTTTGACTCTGAGCCTCATTTCGACCACTTCGTCCGAGACTCGTATTATTCGCCGTATTAAACTTTTGGTCTGATCTACTATAGAGCTTGTTGGACCACATGCTTTATTCAGGCTGAGGTAGGCGTATTCAAAGGCTTCTTGTACATGAACTGCACCATATGAGCTTCGGCCGATGTCATTTGTTGAGTCAAGGGCATCTTCGATACACAAAAAAAGAAGGTCGACATCCCGTTTCTAGCAATACGAAATTGCCAATAGCTCTTATATATTCACCAGATGGCTCTAACAGACTTATTGATATTGAATGCTGTAGGAAGCGCCAAAATTAAACTGATATAAACCCAAGTTTTATCTCAAATATTGATTGTTAGTAGCAAAAGACTTCTAATTTACAATTTATACAGTAAAAAACTTGTTTAACTTCGGGTCAATTGTTGAAGACGCGAAGATTATTTCTAGGTTTTTGACACTTTGATTCAACCAAGGAAATAGAGTCGGGTGTAGTTTTTTTGGGAAAACCTTTTATCCTTGGTACTTTACAATTAATTACATAGGGTTGGAGTAAACGATCTTTGTAGTTGCCCCATTTAGAGTACCATCCATAGGTATAAGTGGCTTGACTAACAATGGGTCCTGAAATGTTGTCAAATCAGAGAAGACAATAAGTTGGAGGTGGTTTGACACGGTCAATCATGGCTAACATTGTAAGATACGGACAGAAGGCAAGGGGTCACCTCTCCAACGGTCATCGTAATAAGCTCCGTAAAGGTAGAAGGAGCCATTGGATGTTTCGGCTTTTTGCTAGTAAATGTTGTTGTAATCAAGTTCAAAAAGACTTGGAAATTAAACTCGACATGTCTCACCTCCTCCCAAAACATTGGATTTACTATTCTTGAGTCTTTTTCTAATCTTATTCCAATAAGCTAATGGCAATTACATTAGCTAGTTGGAGAAGAATATGTTGTTCGTTGAGTTTAGGTGATGTATCAACTTGAACTTTTGGCTGTTGGGACACAAAATTTAAATTTTGATCTGCTGAATCAACTTGTTGAAAGTCATTTAATCCATTTGACACTTTTGATGATTTTGATGTTGTTGCACTGTGATAGGAAACAAATCCAGTAACGTAGTCTAACAACAAGCTCTCCTCGATGCTGGTCTTGTGGAATCTGATTCAATCAAGGTGTTGGACAAAGCATCAGTGCCAATAATAAAACTTGTCGATAAAAATACACAAATTCAAGTCGACATTAGCTTTAATACTCTAAATGGAATTGAGAGTGCCAAATTAATTAAGGTATTTTGATTTTCAATGATCACCAATGCAATCGAAGACCGTACAAAAATCCTCTGTAATAATTTCACATCCTCATTGAATCTTTTACTTGAAAGCCTGAAAAAAAGTAAAGGACAAGAGGCAGTGAATATATTCATCACTGTGGAAATCAAATATTGAATTGAATTGAATTTATTGCATATTTTTCTCTCTTTTTGTTTCCTTTCGGATCCTTTGATCTTAATGGTTGTCAGCTTTCTGCAACTCCATCCTCGCCAAGATGCTGTCTCACCGACATCCAACTTGGGTGTACTTTTATTGGAATTTTTCGAATTTTATGGTCTACTATTTAATTATAAAGCTGTTGGTATAAGAATAAAAGATGGTGGATCATATGTTCCAAAATCAGAAATTCAACAGCAAATGCTAGAAACGGGATGTCGACCTTCTTTTTTGTGTATCGAAGATCCCCTTGACTCAACAAATGACATCGGTCGAAGCTCATATGGTGCAGTTCATGTACAAGAAGCCTTTGAATACGCCTACCTCAGCCTGAATAAAGCATGTGGTCCAACAAGCTCTAAAGTAGATCAGACCAAAAGTTTATTAGGGCGAATAATACGAGTCTCGGACGTTTACCGTTACCGTTCTGTAAACAAATAAAAGTTTAATATATTTTGCGTTCCTGTGGATTTGTGTTTGTTTTTTAGTTTTTTGTTAAGCAACTAATCCTCGTGATAAAAATTGATTATTTAGGTTAAATAGTGGTCCATTGTTAACTAACCCTGGTGGTCAGAGGGATCCTCTTCAAAACAACCGAAGCTAAGTTCAGCTTCAAATCACTTGAGCTTGTTGTCAGTAAAAACAGATCACAAAACATTATGAAAATAGACAATTCCAAAGGTAACTTTACCTGGTAAAGTTTACCATGGGTTAAATAGCATGGAATATTAATTGACTCACTAAATTTGAGTAAATATACCTGTTCATCCAAACCAACAGATGGCTCTAACAGTTTTATTGATATTGAATGCTGTAGGAAGCGCCAAAATTAAACTGATTTAAACCCAAGTTTTATCTCAAATATTGATTGTTAGTAGCAAAAGACTTCTAATTTACAATTTATAGAGTAAAAAATATGCTTGATTTTTTCAATACAGTTATTACTTTAAATCTTGATTATCTAGTCAATTAACCTTGACTTTGAATAAATTCATAAGCAAAAATTAAAATGTGATTAAATCAACATAAGAGTTGGTTGCAGAAGCAGTTATGCTGAATAAACATTTTATATGGGAATACAAATTGTAAGGAAATAAAAAACGAATCAAATCACTTGAGCTTGTTGTCAGTATTGTGACTACTTGAAAAATAGAATGATTTTGGTGATCAGGAGCAAGATTAATTGAACAACAAACATTAATGATGGCAGATCAACATCAGAAAAAGGCATGTTTATCATAAACAAATTTAAACGTTAGTTTATATACAATTGTAAATTGTAAAGAGTCTTTTTGTTATAAGTTATACAATGTGTAATTACACATGTTTTTGTAGTACACACAGTAAATGTATTAAAATGATGATCACATTAGATGATTTGGACGTAACCTGCACCATTTGTTGATTAACATTTCAAAACATGGCAAAAAGTATCAACAATTCAAGCTTTCAGCAAACTCGTAATCTTATGAAATAACAAATTTTCCTTCAATTACAATTGAAACCAATGAAACAATATATTTACACAATAAAATATGTTGACAAGATGTGATTAGTGTCGATTTCCAGAAGCAACTAATTACAATCTTCCCTCTATTCCGAATGAACTGTATTTAGTGTAACTACTTCATTGAGCAATACAAATACAATTACAAAAACAAATTCAATCCAATAATACAAAGTGATCAGCGATGAATTGATCAAGTTTCCATTTTTCTGACTTTTACAATGATGGATCCTGTAATTTCTGAGCTAGTTCAAATAATTGTACTTCTCTGTTTGTTTCACACAAACCATCACCTTGACAAACTACGGAATCAACCAAATATCAAATATTTTATATTGGCAGGTAAAAGGAAAACTTGTCCGACATGAGCCATGTTAATCAACATTGGTGGTGGTTCAATGGTTCCGACGTGTTTCTTGAACAAACTGGTGGCAACTCTGAGTCCTTGGAGGAATCCTTAAAAATCTGGAAGACAAACTCCAAGTGTGAATATCGATGAAGATTTGAGAAGATCTTGAAATCGATGATAAGGTAAAATCAAATTGATGATCAATTTTGCTTTGAATGCTTTTCCAATGGTACAACCTTTATCAGCCGGGTTTTCAGTGATTAAAAATTAGATAAGGCCAACTTGCTTCAGCTCTTTTCAATTTATTGATTGATACAGTTTTGACTTCCTTGGATTCATTTTTCCTGGTTGGTCAATTATGGTTAACCAATCAATCACGGATTTTCATTTGCATCATTTGTGTATTGTTTCCATCAAAAGGTAGATTAATTGAAAAGAAATTATTTTTCTTCCAATACTTTTATCCATTGATAAACCAGTGACAATCCACAGGAAGCAGACTCTGAAATGATGGTTATAAATTGAAGATAAATGAATAAATTAATTGAAAAGTTGGCCTTTATTCAGGATAAATACCCAATTTAATTGATGTGATACTGGTTTGATAAAAGTTTAACTGGTAATGGGTGAGATGGGTTTTGACATTTACAGCTTTATTGAAAAATAAAAGATTCAACTGTAGCTTTAGTTTGCATTTGTTTCAAGCTGCATCAAGAAAAAAACGATTGAACTGCCAACGATTATATCTCAATTGGATTTTGTTTGATTGCTGATCACCTTTTCAATTTGCTCGAATTAATTTGCACCTTTTCAATTCAATCAATCATATTAAATATGGCTGAACACTTCTTTTTGTTCAGGTGAGTTATTCCGATTGTTTCATCCTGTAGACAATCTGAATATGATATTTGGAATCAGCATGAGAATCAATTGCACATAGAATAACTGTTATTGGATATCAATATTTAGTAACAAATATTAACACATCTACACATTGCATTGCGTTTTTGTGGTTAATTGTTATCATTTTTTTCAATTAATTGGCAGTTATACTAGTTATTATTATTATTATTGTGACAAAAATGATTGGCAAGAGCCTTTTATTGTTAATTTGTTTTCTGGTTTAACTTTGACTTGGAAAAATTTTCCCCTTTTCTTCTTTATAATTTTTTTTTGGTGTTTTTTGTTGATTTTTTATACTTTTCCCTTTGAATAAGAAAAAATAGTAGTAATAGAAAGAGACAAAGATTGTGAGTGTAATTGAAAAAAGGGAAAATGAAGAAGAAAAGGAGATAAATAAAGCCGGAGAGAGAGTGAGAGAAATGTTTTTGTTTACAAAGAGATTCTCTTCATTTTTTTGTTGTTATATCTCGCAATGGATCACTTTTTACTTGGCTTGTGTGAGTTAATATCTTCATTAACGAGTTGATTCGAGGCTAAGAATCTCTTGCACTACTGGGTGATATCAATGCAGCAGTTGATGGATGCATTTTTTTCCTTTTACCAGAATTTGCTCGGTACCGGGGTTGATACGGAAAACTACCGGGATGCCTCCAATTTTGATTGCAAGGGTTTCCAAGGTGATTTGATTTCGGTGGAATGGAGTTAGCATGCGATGACACTTCACGGTGACCCTGATGACTTGAGTTATATGCTTTGATTGACTTTATTGTTTTAATTGAGCTGTTTATAAACTGATTAGGTAATTGAGAATAAGAGAAAAGAAAACAGGAGAAAAGATAGAGAAAAAGGAGAGAGAGAGAGAAAGAAACAGAAAGGATAGAAAGAAAAGGAAGAAAGGGAGAAAGCAATGAAAAACAAAATGAAAAACAGCAAGCAAAGATGGTGAAAAAGCAAGGGAAAAATTGAGGGATTGATGATGAGGAAGGAAGAAAGTGAGAGGATCTATTTATTTTAGGTGTGGTGGTGGTTGTTGTTGAGTTATTATCCCTTCATTTGGACGCTTTAAACCATTTCTCCTTCTTCAAGATCAAGATGAAATCAGATCAGAAGAGTCACATCATTCAATTTATATGTATATTTATATATAAATAATTTTTAAGTTATAATCAGCATTATTTCGTTCGATGCCTCTCGTTGAAATAAAAGAGTTGAGAAATCTTATCACAACACTCTACCTCTTTCTTTCTCCCTCCCTCTTATTTCTTCACCATGATGAGTTGAGTTGAAGTACATATGTAAGCACACATACGAAAAAATTGGTGTGTGTTTGTGTCTGTGTTCACAACTATTAGATTGAAAACAGCATGTATCGATCCATCAATAAAAGAAGAGAGAGAGAGATAGAGATAGAAAGAGAAAGAGAGAGAGAGGAAGAAAGAGAGTGAAAGAGAGAGGAAGAGAATGTAAGAAATAAATGGGAAAACAAGGTGAAAATGAGAGGTTAATTTCAGGGAAAACTCACATTTTCACTTGATGCAATTGAAGAAGCTGACGAACTGGTGATACCATCTTCGTCGTATGATTCTGCTAATGATATCGCACTATCGTTGAAATTTTCACAAAAAGGTCCATAATTTTTAGGTAAAGGTTTTTTTAAGTGAGGAAGGTGGTGGTGGTGATGGTGGTTATGGTGGTGGTTGTGATTTATATTGTGATGGTGAAGTGAGAGAGGAGTGGGAGGCGATGGAAATTTTTCTTTGACTCTGAGCCTCATTTCGACCACTTCGTCCGAGACTCGTATTATTCGCCCTAATAAACTTTTGGTCTGATCTACTATAGAGCTTGTTGGACCACATGCTTTATTCAGGCTGAGGTAGGCGTATTCAAAGGCTTCTTGTACATGAACTGCACCATATGAGCTTCGACCGATGTCATTTGTTGAGTCAAGGGGATCTTCGATACACAAAAAAGAAGGTCGACATCCCGTTTCTAGCATTTGCTGTTGAATTTCTGATTTTGGAACATATGATCCACCATCTTTTATTCTTATACCAACAGCTTTATAATTAAATAGTAGACCATAAAATTCGAAAAATTCCAATAAAAGTACACCCAAGTTGGATGTCGGTGAGACAGCATCTTGGCGAGGATGGAGTTGCAGAAAGCTGACAACCATTAAGATCAAGGAATAAGATGAGATACCACCTTTAAACACTTCATTAAGGTCTCTTTGTACAAGAAACTGTTTCACAACCAAAAATAGTTTGGCCAAATGAGGAAAATCTAATTTAAATTTCTTTGTATCCGAAAGGAAACAAAAAAGAGAGAAAAATATGCAATAAATTAAATTAAATTCAATGGACAAAATAGTAATGGTTTTGTGCAAGGAAAAGTAACACGAGGAGAGATGAATAATGAAAAAGTACAAAATTAAACGAAATTTTCTTACATAAATAAGTGAGAGAGGACGAAAAAGAAAGGACGAAAGAAAGAGGCTGATAGAAAGTGGACAGGTAAGGTGACAAATGTTATCATTGGGCGAACCAATTATGCTTCAGTTGTATCAATGCATCTTTAGCAATAAGCAAAAAAAGTGTTGATTACAACATGTTCTCAAGAGAAGCAATATTTGATTTCCACAGTGATGAATATATTCACTGCCTCTTGTCCTTTACTTTTTTCAGGCTTTCAAGTAAAAGATTCAATGAGGATGTGAAATTATTACAGAGGATTTTTGTACGGTCTTCGATTGCATTGGTGATCATTGAAAATCAAAATACCTTAATTAATTTGGCACTCTCAATTCCATTTAGAGTATTAAAGCTAATGTCGACCTGAATTTGTGTATTTTTATCGACGAGTTTTATAATTGGCACTGATGCTTTGTCCAACACCTTGATTGAATCAGATTCCACAAGACCAGCATCGAGGAGAGCTTTTTCTAAAGTATGCAAAGGTAATGTCGGCCAATCACCGATAACCACTAGATCAATGTCACTGGTAGGCAAATAAAGGCCAGTCTTAAAGGAACCAAACACATCAACTTTAGCCGCAGGCCACAACTTTTTGATTACTTTTTTAATTGATTCAACCACTTGACACCTCATACAGTGTTCTTCCATGGTTGGTGACATATATTCATAAAAATCAAGAATTTCTTCGTGTAATCCGATTACCCCAGGTGAGTATAGTCTATCATTGCGTCTCCAAGGGGTACCACCATATTTTCTAATCACGTTCATATTTTGATCTGTTGGAAGAGAGAAACATACACCATTTGGACAAGGTTGGTACAATTTGAAAATACAATTGCAGTTACAATTCATTACAACTACAAAACAGGGAAGGGGAAAAGTGTGGATGAAAGAGAGGAGAAAAGAGAGAAAGGAAAGGGAAAGTTGACTGTATGTATATATGAGAGCGAGAGAAAGAGGAAAGAGAGTAAAGTGTGTGTGTGAAGAATGAAAAAAAATAAGATGATAGAAAGGTGTCGAATTGAAGACAGAGAAAGGTATCGAAAGAGAGAGAAAAAAGTAAGAAAGAAAGCGAAAGATGAAGATGAAGAGAGAGAGATAGTGAGTGAAAAAGAGGGAGATAATATCAAATAAAAACTTCTAATTTGAATTGATTTGACCAAGTAACTGGATTTTCTCTCTCCCTTTTTTAGTGGTTTTTCACCGGTTAACAGAGTAATTAGATGTACAAAATGTATGGTTCACTAGCATTAAGTAAATGTGATTAATTATAATATACAGGATACACGCACAGGTTAAGGTAAATAGCACGAGAAAAAAGCACGAACTGGAATCATCATTCAACACAACAAATCACAGGAAAATTGGATAAGAGAGATGAAGATTAAAGAAAGAGAAGGTCAGCACGAGAGAAAGAGACCAGAAGTGAGAAATACAATGTACTAGTGACAAAACTAAGCATGACAAGAGACTTCAAAGCGCTTCTTTTAAAAATTATTTTCATCTGTAAAATCTTAATTCCTCTTCATTTCTTGTTTCACATACAATTGTACTTAAACTTGTATTATCAAACCATGATCTAGAATTCAGAATAATTCATTTTCTTTGAGAAAAGTCAGTTCACTTCCATCAATAAATCTTTCATGAATAAATAACAAAGCTAACTCTTGTGATTGCTTAGATAAGACTCACAAGTGTAAGTCTTATGGTATTCAATTAGTTCAGCAAGTACGCTTTTTAACACTCAAATTAACTGTACTGACTTATTTGATTACAATCATCTAATGATTTCACTGTTCATTTTATTAATGCTAAAATATTACTTGACCTTTCATCATTAAAAATATTTTAATTATTTGCTTGAGTAAATCAAAGTGATACTATTCAATTACAATTGAATGATGAGTCAAAGCTTCATCAAAATGTTGAACATCTTCAAATCAATCATTAATAATAGCAATTAGTAAATTGAATAAACAAAAATTCCAATCAATTGGTGAGAAACTGTTTCTCTTGTTTAGTAATTAAGCTTTTAAGCAACTTGATGGAAATCATGATTGGTGTAGATTGAATTTAACATTGGATTTTCATTTCAATTCAAACCATTGGTTTGAAATCAATACTGTCAAACCTCCAATAATGTCACTTCGTGGGATTAGCGTTTTGGCTATTTTTACATAATTTCTAGGTGGAATAACCTTTTTACGAATTTTATTTAACAAAAAAAATTAATTTTTAATTTAATTTTGAGATTTTTGATGTTTAATTGGGCAATTCGTATAATATACCCAATTAAAACCATTATTGAAGTCCTGCAAAATTTATTTAATTAAAAAACTGAATTAAATTAAATTGTTTAATTTCGTTACCATGACTCTGTGACATTTTGAGAGTGTGACATTATCGGAGGTTTGACAGTACAATTTTAAAGCTTAAATTCAGTGAACAAATAATCCACCAGATGGAGGCACGCTCATCAGTTATTCAACATGTTAAGTCGATTTAACGATGCACAAGATGGCGAATAAAGCCATTAAAGTTAATTGTTTTGTGAAAAAGTAAATGATTTAAGGAAAAGAAACAGCAAGCAAACAAACAATCACAATCTCGATGGACGTTAATCACGATGCAAATCGTTAATGGCTGAATAATGAAAAATTGTCAAGTTAAAAACTGTAAGTAGTCAAGTTTATAACTCAAAATGTTTACCCAAACAAATCTGGTAAATATTGCTACAATTGGTTGAGTAATTGCAATAGATTAAATTAATTTTCTCATTTTTTCAGATAAATTATCAAAATGGACTTTTGAATATTGAAAAGCAATTGGCTATCAAGCAAGATGTAGATTAATTAAGATGTTTAACGCTCAATGAATGGACAAACTCTGGCTTTACCAAGATTGTTACAGCTGCTTCTTAGATATATCTTATGACCATTGATCATTGAGCATAAACTTGTTCAAGGAATCAATTGATAATCTAACCTTATCGTTTTCAACAAGCTATCAACAAGCTAAGTGATTAAAGTTTTAAAATAATCTGGTAACGTAGAAAGGAATCGGAAAAGCAGGAATCACTTATAAAAAACAAGTTGCAGAAAAAGTGAAAAATGAAAACGATAAAGTTGGAGTTGCTAATAGTAAAGATGATTATGATGATGCCAATGATTATCATGATTATGACCATTAAGAAGGAGTTATAAATGATCGACATTTTGGCCTGAATAAATCGAAGTGTTAAAGTTGGCTATAAGTTACTGTTCGTAATATAATGGAGCATTAGATGAGAGCAACAGTGCAAAAGATGTCTTCAAATGATTATCTCTGTTGTTGTTTTTTTCATTTTTTGCCTTTCTTTTTCATCATCATCTTGATTCATCTTCCTTTCCGGTATAACTGAACAGATGAAATGTGATGATCAAGACGAGAAAGATGAGAAAGGCCGAGGAAAAAAAAGATAGTTGAAGCTCATTTAACGTAAAAATTATGAGACATAAACTCAGTTGTTCAAAGTGATACACATACATAAGGATTATCGAGACTCAGGATTTACCACAGTTTCCTTCATCTTTTTTCATCTTTTCCACTTTTCTTCATTATTATCATCATCAACCTGATCATCATCACCATCACCATCAGTAACATCATGATGATCATCATAATCGTCATAATAATCATCATCATCAACAGACAAACATAAAGCTAAAGCAACACACACACACATTCAACCCATCAAACCATTGGGATCATCATCATTTTTCTTTTCATCCTCATCATCTTTTTTCACTGTTTATGAGCGTAATCGAACTCGAAATAGACAGTAGAAAAGAAAGTGAACGGGAAAAGCTAAATGATGATGGTTATTATGATGATGATGAAGAAGAAAGTAAAAGATGACTTCACGAATACGAATCGCTCAATTATGATCAATTTTCATCATTGCCGTCACTTGATGAGATTGAGTAAAGGCAAACAACAACAAGAATTACAGCCATTTATCTTCTCTTTCTCATTCTCATCCTCATCATCATCATTCTGGGACTTGATATGCTTGTGATGTTACCTTCTTAATAGATATTTATTTATATAATAATAATGATAATGATAATAATATATAAACATGTAAACCTTCATTGGTTTTTATCCAACTTTTGTTCACTTTTTTCCTTCTTCTTTCTTCTCCTTTCTTCCAACAGTTCAGAGCCTGTGAAGATGAATCTGTGGCTTTCATCATAATATTAACTATCATCATAATAGTGCTCATCATCATCATCGTCAACATCAATAACAACATCAACGGATGCTCAGTTTATACTAACTGTGTTTTATTTTGATTGTCATTGTCGATCAAATAAATTTTAGTTGATGGAGAGTCAAAAGGGATGAGAGAAATGAAATAAAAGTTTTCATTCTCTTCCATCATCACTGTTGATGATGATGAGAGTTATCATTCTGATCCTGTGTTACCATCAACTGATGAAGTAACATGTCATTTTGGGCATTCTCTTTCTTCCATCTCTTCCAAATCATCCTTTGCCTTCACTCACTCACTCACATCTTTTCATTTGGTTGTCAGGTCAACCTATTGATTGAATGAATAGTTCACCAGGAAATTGTCTTTGACTCACTCAGTCACTACTTTTATCTCACTCATTTATTCTGAACCCAGAATCATCATCATCATCATCACAGGGAAACTTTTTTTTTGCGCTCAAAACATTTTCTCAGTAAACATAAAGATAAAGAAAGATAAATGGGGCTATAAGAAATAAGGAGAGATGAAGATGATGAGGATGATGATCAAGAAGGCAACTGAATCATGATGATGAAGGAGGAGGAGGAGGAGGCAAATTGATGCCTTGAGGATTGTCTTGTTTCCCTTTTATTGTGTCATTTTACGCAGAATCAACTTGCAGCATTTCATTTTGTCAATCATAATCTCAAGCTTCACACAATTTTTTCATCGCCATATTTTGCCAACTTCAACTTTCCCCTATTGATTTACATTCAATTTTCATTAGAATCATCTTTGCAGCAATTTTCCCTGCTTGAAGGTGCAATCAGAATGGGTTAATCAACATTTTAATTTTTAGTAAAATATTTACATTCTCATGAAAAGATAACTTGAAGGTAAAAGTTGGGATTTAATTTGGATTCGTCTTTTTCTTGGTTTCTTGATTAATCTGGTTGAATGTGAAGATGGTGACAATCAGGATAAAGGATTGACAGGTTTTTCAAGAAGGAAGATGTTCTTGATGAGAAGGAAGAAAAGAAAGTGAAAGAAGAGGAAAATCTGGGTTGAAGAAAGAGGGTGAACATTTGATAGACAGAAAGACAGATGAAGAAAGGGAGTGAAAATTTTCTGGATATGAAATGGAGCAATAAAGGGAGGACGAAGAAAAATGATGATGATGATGATGAGAAGCTGAAAATGACACCAAAGCTTGATAATGATTGTTTCCCTTTCTTATGGTTACTTATTTCTCTGTGTTTCTCTGTCTAATTTATGTGTCTTATTTCCTTGTAGGAATGTTTATCGATCAGCCAAAAGAGACGAAAAGATGAGGAAGAAGAAGAAGACATTTCACTGAGTGACAGTTGAACATTGAGTGTTACTGAGAATGATGAGAATGACGAGAATGATGGTGAAGATTAAGAAAGCTAAAATGGCCTTTCCCTGTCTTCATTTGCCATCTGAGTGATGCTTCAATCGTCAGTGTCAAAATGCTACTTTAAAAGGCAACATGGAAAAGTTAACATGAAAATGATGGAAATGGTGAGATGAAGATAAATCTGGTAAAGATGAATATTGAAATAAACATTTGATAAGCTTACAACCTGTTTATCCCTGCAAGATCAAATGGTTATCTTGATCAACAATCCCTGTTATCAGTCCAACTTTTAACTCCCAACCAACTTCACTTTAACATTCAACTTTCATTTTAAACAAACAATTTTGGTTAAAAATTTCTTCTCTAATTAACTCACCTTAATGTTATATCTTTTCACCGTTGGTCAAACAAACAAAGGTCAAAATGTGTTGCTTTCAAGTGTTCAAAAAGAGATATTTTTTTGCTTCTCATTCGTTGGTTTCATTGATAATGTTTTATATATTTATTTATGCTATTAATCTAATAGTTAGACGTAATCTGATGTTGAAAGTGAAAGTCTAATAAAATAAAAGTTGACATGAAGATTGAGGGAAAAGTTGGGAGGTAAAAAAAAAGGAGGAAAAATGATGATGACTTGGAAGAGTAAAAAATGTTAGTAAATAAGATTTGATAGGTAAACTGAGCTAAATGGCATTAAGTTTAGTGATGAATGAAGAGGACATTATGCTTAGATGGAAAGTCGTATTTCACGTAAAAAAAATGATATAAAAATAATATATATAATAGCTTTTGGTAGGGCAATGAAGATGAAGAGGAATGATGAACAGTGAAGATGAACAAGATGAAAAGCAAATAAAAATTTAAAAGTCCCGCTCATTACCGTTCTATTTCTCTTCTTCTTCATCATCTCTACTTGCATTGAACCTCCTCCCACCCCCATAAATCATTGATAATAAAAGGCTGATCAACCCATAAAAATAAAAGTTGGCCCAGAAAATGATTGCTGAAACAACTGAGATCCCATATAAATCATGGCCACTGGCCAGACCTTTATGTCGTTCATTTTGCTCTCTCTCCTTTCTCTGTCTCTTTCTTCTTTCTAAATGATGGTAAGAAGAGGATGATAATGATGATGATCAGGAGCAGAATGATGGAAATGATGATCAACCAAACGTCCACTGTTATTCCAGTGGAAATCTCAATTGCAATCCCTTCGACTCTTCAATCATTGGATAACATTTCCTCAAAAACTCGTCAAATGTACTATTTTACTCTTCCTTCCTCTCTTACCTCCTTCTCATCCACCATCATCATCACCATAATTCACCATCATCCACATCATCCTTATCTTCACCAATCACTCTCTAACTCACTTTCAATCTTCTCATTTCTTATCATTTCTATTATTACTATCCATTTATATCCTCAGTCTAAATGTCTTTTTTTTACTCTCGCCTTTTATAACAGTTTATCCTCTTCTTTATGTGATATTTTATACCCTTTTTTGTCTTCTCTCTCTTTTTTTGCTTCCCTTTATCATTCCCATTCTCATCATTCTGATCATCATCATCTTTATTTTTCTCACTAAAACAACTCTCCTAGGTGAAATAAATATTTGCTTCTTAAAGATAAAGCCATCTTTATCAACCTCCTACTATTATCAGCCATCTTCAAACCCATTTTTTCACCCATTGAAAAAAGCTGATGAAAACATTTCCCTTTCTTTGCCCAACTAATTCTGGTGGAAACCTTTCTGTTTCAACTGCGCTCTCATTCAAATTCACTTTCAATCAATCAAATCAGTTGAAATGAAGAGCCATTAATTTGAGGTTAAACACTGATTTAGACTTAACATTGATTCAAGCTCAACATTTCATCCAAACTCCAACATTGATTTTTATTTCAACCCAAAAATGCAATGGATTTATTGATTTTCAATTTTGTTGCGCTTTTTAGTTTTAGTTTTGGTTTTAGCTTTTTCTTCTTGCTTCTTCTTTGTCATTTAATCCACTTTATTAACTTTGCTTTTCATTTAAGATTAAATTGTTTCCATTTCTGTGTTAATTAGACAATTACTTGGCTTTATTATTAAATTAGATTTAGTTTGTTAATCACTTCAAACCAAGTCCAAACCTTTTCTCTGTTACACTGATCAAAATGATCAACCAAGTTAATCAATCTTTACCATTTTTAGTTTACTCCCTTTAATATCAACCATTTTTATTTTCACTCAACAATCTTTTTTTTTTACGTTCATTGCTTAATTGGTGAGTAAATTAAAGTTAATTGTTTTGGGTTCATTCAATTTGGACAAAAATGATTAGCAAAAGTTATCATTATTAACTCTTATTTAATTTAACGCAATCAATTGAGAAATGTTTTGACACATTTGGTGATATCAAGTTAATACACAATTTTTACAATGTTTTTGTATGCATAAGAGTCTCAATCTAAATTTTAAACAATTTTTATTTTCAATTGCAAGTTTAATAAGTTTTGTTTGCCAATAATTAAAGTATTCCAAATATAATTTGATTAGATCACAATTGGTCTAATCATCAAATGTGTACTTTTGGGTGAAAGTTTCTTTTGCACAATTCAATCGCTCATTCAATGGAGATTTCATTATATACAGCCTGAGCCCGAATTCATTTAAAACAGAATTAACTTTTCCCGATGTTGATTCAATTAGATGAAGGTCTAAACTAGATACAGTCCTTTGAAGATTTTAACCAAACAAAATGCGATTCCATTTCAGTGTCAATCCAAGCTTAATCATGAACTTATTTGAAAAAAGGTTTCATTTTAACTGATTATGACCGTTCTTTTTTAATAGAAATTGTTGAGTTCATTATCAATGTTTAGGTTAACACCAAAATTAGATTTAGTTGAATCGATTTGGTTTGGTAACAATCTTTGTACAAAAAATTGCTTAGTCAATTTGTATCAGTTGGTTTAGATGTTCAATATTAAACACATATTAAAACAATTTTATAAGGAAGTCGCAAAAAATGATTGAAACGACGATTGAGTTTTGATGTGTGATGTGACAATAATTTAAATATGCTTTATGATTTTAGAGCTTTGAATCGTTTTTTTGTTTGCTTTTTATTTTAGTATTGATTTATAATTATTTTTCGAGTGTTGTTTAATCAAAAAAAAACAAAACCTAAAAGGTGATTAAATCTAATTATTTAATCTTTGATAAGTCTTCAGCCTGAGATCTATCGGAATCAATTGAATCTGGTGTTGATAAACCTGGAGATCGAAGTGATTCAGGGGATACCGGATTTGATCTGTCGGGTGAACCTGCTGACTCCTCTTCTGATCGTTGACGGAATCGGCGTTTTGGTGAAACAGGTCCAACATTGTGCTCATCTTCACTCAATTCTGAAAGTGATTCCCGTTTAATTGTCGATTTCATGTTCGGTAATTTATTTAGTAAAGATGATGATTGGAAGTGAGGCTGAGGTGGTGGTGATGATAATGAGCTGGGTCGATGGTGACGAGAATGATGAGAACGATAAGAAGAACGATGAGAATTTGAGGAATGGTGAGAACGATGGGCTTGAGAATTGTGAGTTCGATGAGATGAAGAGGAAGAACGATTATTATGATTGATTATTGGTGTTCCCGGATTTGAATTGCTCGAATGAACTGATGAAGGACTTGGACTATTACTTGGTTGACTATGTTTATTATTTCGATTATTACTATTGTTGTTGTTGCTGTTATTATTGTTAAATCCTGTTGATGGTGAACCAGTTATTCGAGCAATTGTTTCTTCTAGACGAGAGATCATTGAAGACATTGGAAATGATAATGATGATGATGATTTGTTTCCTATTCCAGATCCTGATGGTGTCATTGGTACATCATTTCCTGAGGCTCCAGTTGAAGTTGAAGAAGGTGCTGCTCCTGTTGCCGCCGTTGATGCAGCGGCGGCAGCAGCAGCAGCAGCCAATGCAGCCGCTGAGGGTGAGCCAGAAGCTCTTAGAGTTGAACCTGACAGGTGTTGATCAATTTTCTTATTACGATGATGTTTATTATTTGCATTAAGTGTTTCAGATTGCGACTGATGTTGGGAATGATGATCAAATGAACTGTTAGAATCATCACAGGAAGATTCCGAGGAAGATGATAATGAACCATTTTCCCCTCGAGTACCTTGATATGAAGATGATGCTCCAGAAGGAACGGGACTTGTTGATAATCGATCTTTTAATCCATGGAATGAGTATTTTTCTAATTGTTGGGACCAAGATGCAAATGAAGGACCCGAATGATGAGATTCCGAGTGACCGGTAACATTGTTTTGAGATGATGTTGAACCGGAAAGACTTTGCCAGGGAGGGCAAACTTCTTCGTCAATACCAAGTCTCTGAAGGATTCCGGTTGTTTGATTTTTCCTTGACTTTGAATCAAATGATTTTTCAATCAGTTTTTCAATCGACGACAAAAATGAGCCACTGGTGGCTGGCGTTGTTGGTGGTGAATCACCCGAAGATACTAAAGGATCATCTGCTGATCCTTGATGATTTAAACCAAATGAGCCTAAAATTGAACTAGAGGAGAGTTGAACTCCACCTGCAGATGTTTCTGATTTGATTCCCAATCCTTCAGAAGGCAAATTGTCTTTGTCTCTATTATTGGAATTATTAGGATTATTGGCATTCGAGAAAGAACTTGTTGGCACCTTAAGTGATGAGGAGGATAAATTATTAGAAGTAATATTTGCAGGACTTGTGGGTAAGGGTGATGTAGATGATTTTGATAGAGAAGGTGATTTCCTATCAGATGAACTCGATGAAGATGGAAGTGATTTACATATTTTAATGTGAGCGATAAAATTTTTGGCATCCAATTTTTCATTACACTCATCACAGGTAATCATTGATGATGACGATAAACTTGATGATAGCCTTGATCCAGCCGCATCTGTTGGATTGATAATCATTTGATGAGAATGAGAGTGATGATGATTATTAAAATCATTTTTGGCACTACGAGATGATGATTTATTTATTGATGATGGAGAAGATATGGAATGATGAGAAGTAGAAGTAGAAGAGGGAGTAGGGTGAGAGTGCTGATGAGCAGGAGGAGGTGGAGGTGGAGGTGGTAATGAAGGTACAAGAGAGTGACCTGATTGAACTGGTAAAGAAGGACTTTCTGAAGATGCCCTCTCAGAGGATGAACAACGAACTGATGAACCGGGTGAAGAAGGTCCACCTGTGGGTACACTTGGAACCCCTTCTTTACCAACCAATTCCATTCTTTCCAATTCTAACAGTTTTCTAACAGGTAACGATTTTTTCCGCCTCTCACGAGTTTGCCGACGGCGTCCATGTCCACCTTCGGTCATACTTCGGATTATGTGTTCCTTGTAATGAGCATTTTTAATTATGTGATTAGACAATTCCTTGAGTGAACCAAAAGATTCGTCACAAACTTTACAAGTAAGAACAGCATTAACATGAGCTTGAGCCAATTTATCTTCTGGTGTCTTCCATGAGATTATCTGCTCCTGGCTTATAATATTGGTGTAATGTTGAGTAACCCTCATATGACGAGTCATATCTTCAAGCGTCTTAAATGATTGTCCACACCACATACCTAATAGATTAAAAAAATAAATTAACATTAACATTTTGTTGATACATAAGTAAATAAAAACGGTAAACAAACGGATTGTAAACAAAAGTCAAACTCTTTGCCGCCAAATAGCTGCTAATTTGCTCCATCTTGCGGAACTAATGGGTTAACCCTTAACCGATCGCATTACTAATTATAACGATAATGAGTCCGATAGATGGAGACTGAACCGGGTAAGCTTCAGTTTTAATGTTAGGCCTGAGTATTTTTACTGGTTTTAGTGACGATCAAAGTGTGATTGATTTTATTAATAATGATTATTATTAGAATCATTTCTGCCTTTACTCTGTTTCTCCAATCAATTGTCAACTGATATTAACAATGATAAATCATAATAATAGTGATAATAATATAAATAATCATATTTAATGGAGTTTAATTTTCTATTGAAGTTTATCTTAAGTGTCATTCTTGATTAATGATTATCTTTAAGTTTCTCTTTTTTTTGCTCCTTTAATTTTATTCAACATTTTGTCTTATTGTTAACCAGTGATACTAAAGATAATGATGATCATGATCATCATCATCAAGGTAAATATATTGAACCCATCAATAAAGTCAATTAGATGAACGCTTTACTCTGTTTTGCTTATCTTTGTACTTTACTTAAGTCATTTTAGTTTTTGGTAAAGGCGAGAGAAAGGCAAAGAAGAGTAAAAAACTAACTACTTCGATAAACTACCCAAAAGAAAAAGAAAGAGAATTAGACAGAAGAAAAAAAGAAGATGGGAAAAACTATGAATTACATGATGAGATATACTGATGATAATGATGATGATCATCATCAACATCAACATCTTGATGAGGAACATCAATTTTCCCTTTTCTTTCTTTCACCTCACAAAACAGTTTTACTCACAAGATAAGGATAAAAAAAGCGAAACTCAGATAATATTCATCCTGCTTTATAAAGATATAACTCACAACTCACTGAGTATTATTCAGACAATCACTATAAATCTAGATTTTTTTCTTCTTCTTCACCATGATGATGATCATCATCAACATCATCTTCTGTTTCTTGAAACTAAAAACCTCAATTGGTACAAATGAGTAACATTCTTCTTGTATTATATTGCAAATTCAGTTGAAGAGTACGATGAGCCTATCAAGAGGCTCATCATCATCATCATACCCTTTAAGAAAGTTTCAAATGAATATGATAAGATGAATACAAATATATATATTAATGTTTAAAGATAAATTCATGTTAAAATATCCAAAGTAATGAAACCTTTTTTCACCCAAACTTTCGTTGTTAACTGGTAAAAATTGAATAAATTAATGATTAGAGTTGCAAGTTTTTCCAATTTAACTGAGTTATCACAATATTGCATACTGCAATTGATTAATCCAACATTCAGGTAAATTCAGAAGCAAGATGAAAAGACTGATGCAAGATGAAAAGACTGATGAAAATGATGAAAATGATGAAAAGATGAAGATGAACCCAAAAAAAGTAGGTGAAAAAAGTGATTAGAAAAAGGAAAGTTAATCATTTTTTTGCCTTCTCCTCTAAGGTTGACAATGTTATGTATTTGGATTTGATGTATTATATTGTTTTTATTTTGAAGGTAATTTGTTTGACAGGGAAAGGTAATCATAACGAAGACAGGTGAAGATGAGAATCATTTTGTTGATGATGCTTTGGATAGGAAGATAACAAAACTTGTTAGTAAAGAGAAAAGAAAGAGAAAGATAAAGATGAAGATAAAGCCCTGAAGCAAATCAATTACAAAGCCAAGTTTTTTTTCCTACATTTGAGAGTAAAAATTACTAAACATGAAAAATGATGATGAAAGATGATGAAGAAGATGAGAAAGAAAGAAAGAAAGAGAGAAAGTGAGGTTCGTCAGGGATGGATACATAATTACGGTTGAGTAAAAGATGAAGACAGAAGATGAAAAATCATCCCGAAGGATCATTTGACCCGCTAATGGTTTTTAGCTAAAGATATCATCATCTTCATGTAGATCATCATTTCTCTTCATCCTCTCTCTCCCTCTCTTACAAGAATTATGACAAACCTTTACAACAAATTTATGGAACAATCATAAATTTTAACTTCAAGTTGGCAGCATTTTTTTTCTTGTTCAAAAAAACACGCATACTTTTGATTGAATGATGATGATGATGATGATAAAGTGAGGGAACATCGTTTTAATAAAGAGACGCTAATACCAATCGATGGAAGACGAGAGAGAGAGAGACTTTTCTTCGCCGATATTTGAGATGAAAAGTTGAGCAGATAATTTATTAGGTTTGGTTTGCTCCTTTGCTCTGATATAAAAAGTTAAGCTTAGCCCATTGATTCAAAAAAAAGGAGCCAAAGCAAGGCCAATCTTTATCCAAAGTAATAATGATTGTAATAATAATAAAAATAATGATAATCTTTCACCCTCCCTGAGAAAGAAAGGAAAGTAAGAGAAGATTGTTTTTTTCTCTTTCTTCTATTGGCCTTTTCATCCAAATGTTAACATTTTGCTTTCAGTTGTAACACCAGAAGTAACTCATAAAATACATACACTTTACCATCTTCATTTTCATCTTCTTTTCGTCTTCCTTTTCTCCTGTCATTGCCAATGGTTAACTCATAAATTTTGATATTTTTTTGTGTATATCTTCAGTCTACTATTTGTCTTCCTTATCATCATGCCATACATAACGGACTAAATCGTTATATAAGGTAGGAACCGTTTTTAACCAGAAAATGTTTTTTGCCTTCAACTTGACGCTTCATGATGAGAGTCAAGGTAATAAACAATGGCTTTGTAAAGACGAGCAAGATGGTAAAGATGAAGAGGAAGAAGAAGATGAAATGAGAAAGAAAATCTCTTTTTTCTCTGTCTATTTTTTCCTCTCTCTCTCTCTCCTTTTCTCGTCCTGTCAAGACATAAATCACTGATTGACTGTAATGGCCGATGGTCAATCCTATTTTTATTAACCTGTATTAACAAGGAAAGCAAAGCCAAAAGATTTGATTCCATTATTATTATCATTATTATTACACTGATTTATGTTTTTACTTTGAGCTGATTCAAGATTTGAGAAAGCAAATGAAAAGGTTAACCTTAAATTTAAGGTTCCACTTTTTGGGTTTCTTTACCTTTTTTTTACCCAAACAAAGGTAACATTGAATAATAGAAGACCAAAATCTGAATCATTTCCTATTATCATATTAATCTTGAAGACATATTTCAACTTCCGAATGTTATATTATTATTAAAAATAGCCTTTCTTGTGTTTTCATTATTACAGGTAAAAATTATCTCACGGTTATATTGTACCTTTTTTCATGTATAAAATGTGTGTGTGTGTGTTTGGGTTTACAGGCTTGGTTAACATGATAAACGAAACAACATTAATCTTTGAAACAAAAAAATCGTTTCGTTGCTATTATTTATTATTATTAATTTAATATTTATTATTAATATTATATCATGATTATCAATATCATTTTCAAGGATAACGAGGGGATGAAGGGGGAATCAAGAATTAGCCCGAGGTTAATAAAATCTGATCATGAGTAGGAATTGTTTTGTTTGTTCATTAACAAACATGTTGTTGCTGCTGTTGTTGAGGATGATGATGATGAACATAGTTAATCAATGTTAAGTTAACAGTTTATCAATTTACTAATACATAAGAATAATAATTGACTTGAAAGTTGCTCTTTTTTCCACTGTAAATGTAATATTATTAGATAATAATGATGATATTATTATTATTATTAAACAGCTCAAGGTTAACAACAAACATCTTTTTTCCTCTAATAAATCATGATCGCTCTAGTGCGTTCAACTGTCAAATAATCAACCAATCAACTTTCATTTTGCATTATTATTTAGATTAACAATTTTTTGTTTCCTTTGCTGGTTAATTGCAAACGATTTTTTGTCACTTGCACTTCATTTCAAGCCATTTACCTGTAAGGTTAATTACTTGTAAGAACATTTTAACCTTGTTCTAATTATTTTATCGAAAGATACTTTTAATCGGTTCAATTAAATATTGACAATTTAACAATAATTTTGGCTAAATTTAATTCAAATTGATTTTCCCTCTTCTTTTCAATTTATTACTTAACCAGTTTCTGGTTGTCAATGCAACCAGATCAGCTGACTTTTTCCCTCCTAATTATGGAAGCGTGATTGCGCTTCTTATTGTCTAATTTTAATTTTAATTTAATGTTAATGTTAATTTAGTTTTTTGCTTGTTTGTTAACTGTTGCTTTGTCTTTGAAAAGGTAAGATATTTTGTTTCCTAACATGACAATCAGACACTGTCTTATGTCAGTCTTATTCAGTCAACGATTATTTCATCTCCAATGTGTCAATTGATCAATTAATTTTTTTCTGCATATTTATCTTTTATTACCTGTCCTGTGTTCAAAGTGTCATTATAAATTAGCATCAAGGAGCAATGGGAAGATGAAATTATGGTCTAGTTCTATGCGTTCATCTTGGTGGCTTTTGTAAATAAACTTTCGATGCATTTCTCATCGTCATCATTCTTGGCCTTTCTGGTTTTGAAGCTTTTTACTGTTTGCTTGTCTCTATTTCTGTGGCCTTTTTGATCAACTAAAATGTTAATGTTACTGAAGTATAATTGAAAATAAATTTTCACAAAGGTACAGTCGATCGTAAATAAAAGGTCAGTCAGTCTTAATCTGTCTTTTCCATCATCCTCGTCTTCATCTTCCCTTTGTCTCACCAATTCTTTTTCGTCTTTCTCTTCCTTCTTTCTCTAGAGTTAACTGTTAAAAGGAAACCATTAATTGCATCGAGTTGGCAGTTATTTGACAGTTTCTCATCAAAATGATCAACAAAATCAGTCAAAATTTACGATATTAACCTTCTTCGTCATCATTTTCATCTTCTGTTATTCCTCTTCACCATCATAATCACCATCATCTTCATCATTCTTTCTCCCTCTCTTCTATGGTCCTTCTCTTGTCAATATTTATTATTGAAACTGGCAAATGAAGAATCATGTTGATATAATTACGAGGAAAAAGGCAATATTGTACATTAACTGTGTCACTTTGATTTCATCTTATTCTAAATCAAATCAATGGTTCACAAAATCAAATCTATTTCAGGCAATTATTCAAAACATTCAAACACATTATATTACTTGGAACCAAGGCTATTGAAAACAAAAAATCAAGCAAGCAAATAAACAAATAAGCCCTAGACTGGATTAAATTTAATGAAGCTGGTTAATTAAATTTAATGAAGCTGGTTAATTCCTGATTAGTGGATAACAAAATTACAATGATTACCGTGTTCATTCCAATCAATAAGTTAATAATAATTGAAATCAATTTGACAATTATAAACAGATCACTAGCTGTTATTAATACCTTAAAATTGATTGAAAAGATAATCACATCAGATCAAGCTTCAACTCTTTTTCAGTTTGATATTTTCAATATCAGGCAAGAAAAGAGGAAGCAAAGTGTTTCTTGTTGGCTGTTGGAACTTTTTTTGTTTCAATTTTCTTCTTTCACCAAATCTATCTTCAATCCTGACAGGTAACAACATGATTATTACAAGCAGTAATAGTGGGAGCTGAATATAAGTTAACTGTGATGATACAATGATGATTGAAGAAGAGGATGGATTCACATGCAACAAATCAATTCAATAAAGATCCAAGACTAAATCAAAAATGGCTTCAAGTTACCTTTTGATGTTTACCAAGCATAAAAGACAAATCAGTTAAATCACTGAAATAAATCAACATTTGTCAGCAGCAAATATTCAAAAAAAAAGTTCCAGTCAATATAAATTACAATTTACTGTCCATCTAAATCAATCTTTTCAACTCATCAAGCAAGATTCATAATCATCATAACCATCTTGAGGATCATATTCAACAGCAGATGAAATGAAACCAACAAAAAAATACTGCACACAAAGATCAATGTTAATTAATGGAGACAAACAAACAAACATAATCACTGGTTCAGTGACTGTAATTGTTGCTGGTTATATTTTTTTTGTTTTTTTCTTGTTTCTTTTTTTTCGCTGTTTTGGTACAGTCAGTTGTAATAAAACAAAACAGCAAAAAAAACCATCAATAAGGTGTAATAATAATGCCCTAGGTGAGTCTATAATTAAGCGTGATTAGCTTGAAATAAAAATAAATCACAATCATCTTCAAGGTAAACGTCTTTTGTCTGATTTTTAACCTGTCAAGTTTACAAGAGAGTGAAGGTAAAAGATGTTGAAGATGTATCATCACTTAACCTGCTCAAGAATAAAAGTCTGTCAGTTGTTCAACTATCTTCATCACCATCATCATCATCAGCAACATCATCTTTCAAGTTTTGTTTTAAAAAATGAAAGAAACGAAACGATAATTTATCAAAAATTCATTTTTCTCTGTAAATCATTTTTTACCTTTTTTTCCCCAACCTTTTTTTTTCAAGCAAAAATGTCGCAAATCAAACTGGTTAATGTTAATTGTACATACAACTGAAATTATTTCACCAGATCCAATGAAACCATTTAATTACCAGAGTCAATTATTTCAATCAATAATGGAAAGAGTAACATTCTTGCAACTAACGTAAACAACTAATGATGGTTATCCTTTCATCTCATCATTATTGATGATAATTTTTCCTCCTCCTTCATCCATTCATTGGTGAAAATTAAACTTGTGAAAGGATAAGTTATTGCACTATTCCTTGATTGGTGTATATAAATTTTGACAAAAATCAAATTAAAAGTGAGCTAAAAAATTACTCTTAATTATATGCGAGTGAGAAGAGGAGAGTTGATTTAATGATGATGATGATGAGGATGAAAAAATAAATAGGAAAGTTGCACGAATCAGTCGGGAGTCAATATAAATGTGATAGTGAGAAAATATCTCATAATTTTCACTCCCAGTTCATTCCAAGTCTTTTATGTATTAGCTTTACTGGAAGTGAAACATTACCGGTGATTTATATCTGCAGGGCTCATTTACTTTCTTTACAGGGAAACACACAGTGAATGTACACAGAGAATGATGATGATGAGGATGAGAAGGATGATAATGATGGTGAAGTTGAAGGAGGTAAAATTATGCTATGACACAAAGATGATTTGAAAATATCACTCAATCTCTTTTTGCTGCTGCTCTTTTCACTTCAACTCTTGTACAAAGATAATCATTTCTGGCTCTGAATTTATTTTTATTTATTATATTATTTATATTACTTTTTATTTTTTTATTATCATTATTATTATTATTATTATGGAGGATAATATATAGATGATAATAAAGTATAATAATAGGAAAGAATGGCAAGAATAGCCGATAATTTACGCTTTAGCAATGTAAGGTGAGTTTTGTATGCTGATTTAACTTGTTTTTTTTCTTCATCTCCTTTGCTTGTTTTTTTTGGCTTTTCAAGTAATTTATTTAATTTTTTTTCTTGTTTCAACTACTTCTTTGCATTTGCCTTTTTATTTTATTTATCATTAGTCTTTGTGAGTTGTAAAAATAATGATCATTATTATTGTTGTTGCTGCTGCTGTTATTATTTTGATGAGGCATTTTGATTAAAAATTACCCACCATTTCAATTGGTTTTATGTTGTTACTGTTGTTGTTTGTTGCTGATGCTCGTTTAGTGTTTGCTTTGAAACAACTTCTTTTGTTTCAGTCTGATTTCACTTGATTTTAATGATAATTACAATTTCTTGTTTACTTTTTGAATTTATTTCTAATCTTTTTGATAATTCAATTTTATTTTGCTCCATTTTATTTTTATTCACTAGATGGCGGTTACGGATGGTAGACGACAAGACATTTCTTGTAATGAGGTGAAAAATAAATAATGATTGGCTTTTTTTCACTCTTTTGCTTTGTTCTCATCTTCTGACGATTTATTGTAATTAAAACAGATTTGTGGTCTTGTAATTGTTCATGTATGTTTCAATTTTGTGTTTAATTGTGTCTCTTCATCTATTCACTGTGGTCTTTGTCTTTTTGTTTCATCTTTTGCCGTTATTCTGTGGGTTTAATTGAATGCTGGTTTTACTCTTTATTTTAAAAGGTTTGTTTTGTCATGTACTAATAGCAAATTTGTTGATAATAATTTTGTTACTTTTATCCTCTCTCTATCTTTCTCTTGATTTACAGGTTCAATTTCAATAGTGATCAAGTGAACAAACCTTTTTTTGTAGGCAATTGTGTTTTAAAATAAGTGACATGATGATGACTAAATCATGTGGTGATGATAATAAAGTCTAGAGCTGTTGATATCTGAAGACGAAATGGTTACAGTGCGAAAAAAGGGAAGCAAATCAAGATATTGCTACATCAATGAGGAGAAAAGATTATCTAACTTCTCCTCAAATATCTTCATCTTCCCTCTCTCTCTTTTTAGCTTGCTTTCATCTCATCTTCTCTTTCTTTTGTCTTCCCTGAGTGCAAGTGAGTGAGAGTGAGTGTGTGTGTATGTATGCTTGTATACATTACAGAGGAGTAAAGAAGAGAATAACTTTTGAAATGAACAGTTAAGTGAGGCTTGTTTTGGTTGTATTATTTTGTGCTTGGTTGAAGTCAAAAGGCTTGTCAAAATATTGGAATGAAACAGGCTTTTCAGAGTGGTAAGGGGAGGAGGTGAAGGTTACAAGGTAACGGTAGTTGTTGAAAGGTTGCTGGTTTTTTTTGTGTTAAAAAACAGCAAAAAAGATCAGCCTCTTTCATCTTCTTTTTTTTACAGCCTTCCTTGGGCTAAAGAAAGGGAGAAGAGAAGAAGCAGGAAAATAAAAAAGCGGGAAAGTGAAAAAATGGATCAACAGTCTCATGAGGGACAACATATTGATCAAGGTTTACGCCAAAAATTTTACGCCCAGTTCAACAAATTCAATCGTTTTCACTTGATAATATGAGCGATGTAAAGACAAAATGTAAGTAATGGTGAACCATGACGCTAAGTGGTTAAGTTACATCTTTTACATTTTGTCACTCTAACCACAACAATTTGATGACAATTTACTGTCAACACAATTTTGTTTACTCAAATCAGCTATTTTATCTTCTCTAACTTTCTTCTCTTCAGATTCAATGCTAATTTATATCATTTCAGTTTCACCTGTCGGACAAATTCAATTGATAAAATCTGCTGTTAACAAGTGAAGAGACGAAAGCATAATGTGTCTGATAATCAAACTATTATTTACATGCATGCGTATCTAAGGTCATCATGAACAATCTGAATGTCTGAATTGATTATTATGCAACTTTTTGCTTTTGATTCACACCAAACTTGGATGTGTCAACCTGATGAAGGATGAAGCAAAATCAAAACAAAAAAAGACGATTCTTCAACAATCAATAGGAACTTATTGTTACTCTCTTTAATTTGATCAGTTGGAATGATATATATTCATGTATATTTAAGTGTAAAAATTGAATAGGAATATCTTTACTCATTGCCCGTCAAACCATCAATCAGTCATTATTCACCTTGATTGATGTGTATTTACCGTTTGTTTGTTTGATGGTTTGATGTTCAATTGTGAGTAGTTGACAGGTAAAAACAAGAAATATAAAGAAAGAAGAGTGTTTACCTATTGTTTGATTGGAATGACGGGTTATTATTATTTCTATTATTATTATTATCATTATTATGGTTACACATAAGAGAAAGGTAAGAACGAAAACGAAGACATTGTCGATAGTAAATATGATAAAAAAAGTTATCATTAAGCTTTATTCTCAGCTGTCTGTTGGTTATTATTTTGATTGATTGCAATTTATCAAGTAAGTGAGTAAGTAATAATAATAATATGGCAACCAAAATGAACAAGAACTTTTTTTTCTTCCAATTAGATGAAAATATCAATTTGTGCTTGAATCAACATGAAATGTTTCATTCGGAGTCAAGGAGACAGGAAACAGAGAAGAAGAGATAAAAGATGATCAAGAAACAAGCAAGACCTATGAAGAGGAAGATGCTGGTGAAGGAGGTTGGGGGAGTTGGAAAAACATGATGATATGGAATCTATGGAATCATTGACATGGAACTAAATGAAGAGAATCTATTTAAAGTAAACAAAACGAGCAAAAAAGGAACGAACAGAAAGTTAAAAAAGAAACATTCGCCAGGAGAAAGAAAAAAAAGGAAAACATTCTTCGACTTGTGATGATTTAATGATTTTCTTATCATCCTCTTACCTTTCCTCTTCGCTCTCACTCACATACTTTTCAATGTTCAATATCTTCAGAAGCTGATCTAGCTTATTTGTCTTGCTACTTATCGCTACTTTTATTGTCCTCTTGCACTCACTCACTCACTATTTGTCATCATCATCAGCATCTTTTCATTTTTGATGATAAACTTATTCCGGACATGGAATCGATTTTTATCACTCATATTTCATCCATATTAGGCTCAAGAAATGATATCAAAGTATGATAATGGTGAAGATTATGGTGTGATAAGGTGATGAACATGATTCTCATCTTCGTCATCTTCATCACCGCCATCACCATGCCTGATGATGAAGATGATGATGACATTTCTCTTTTACTAGCAACTCAAAGTGATTTGCAAATGACAGGGCGTCAAGCTAGGAAAAGGAAAGAGTTGTCACTAGGAAAAAAAGATGAGGAAAGTAAAAGTTTTGATACTGATGATGATCCTGATGGTGATAGTTGATGATGGTTGATGAGAATGAGAATGTAAATGACGATAAAAGTAGATGATATTAATGATGATTACGAATTTTGTTATTGTTGTGTTAAAGCGAAGAAGAAAAAAAAGCGAATGTATATTTCAATGGATCCCAAGAGGAATTGTTTCGTTTCTTTCGCCAATTTAAGTGTGCCTTTCATTCATTTAGCATTGACCCAAAGCAGTTTAAAGCTTCTCAAAGAAGCTCAAGCTGAAAATGAAAATGAAGATCATCAACATCATCATCATCATCAAGATCTTCTCACTGACACAAAAAAAGAAAGAGAATGAGAGAAAGAATGAAAACTCCCTCGGGCCTAGTAACCAGAGTCTTTCTGTTTCTCTGTCTTTTTCGTCTTGTTGTTACGCTGTTTTCCCCATTAGAAGTAAAATTGATGAATTGACCATCAATTGGATTGCATTTGGAAAGAAAAGGAAAAGTTGTTTTCTGGTTTCATTGGACTTTTTCAGGACCATCAACATCATCAAGACCCATTCTGCTCACTTCCAAAATTTGGTTGGACACATAAATCAACTCGATTCTCTCTCACTCTTACCACCCTCATCTTATGAGTCCTCCTAAAAATCTCCATCAATCAATTGTCAAACAACATCCACTGACTTTTCTTCCTTTTCTCTTCCTTCTTCTCTCTCATCTTCTGTGATATATAATTAGACTCTTTCTTACAGAATATTATCATCATAATCATCATCAAGATGAGAAGGTAATCAATGGTTGCCAAAATCTCTCTCAATCTTGCCAATATCATTACATCTTCTTATCCACTTTGCCTTCAATATGTATTGATTACAGTATTAACCACACGGATTAGATGGCAAATAAACAAATAAAATGTTTAACCTATTGGCCTTTTTTAAACATCAACTGTTATTATAAATTCACATCATCATTTGAAAGTCAAGATCATATTCATCAACCAGAATCTTTAGTCAGAATCATCAGCCAAAGTCAAGATCAAGGGAACATTTCAATATTTGATTTTCAATGTAAACAGGTTAACTGGTGTTAAGTGTTGGGTAACATTTTGGTGTTAATTGTTATTGATTAAATAGACAATTGTTTTGGTGAATCTCAATTGTTTATTGATTGTGTTAATCTGGATTGGAAGAGGAGAAAAATTGTTATTTCCTGAGTAAACAGGGTATTAATAAGATTTATTATTTCCGGAGGTTCTTGTTGATCCAATTTTGTTTTAATATCACTGACGATTAGACGATTGGAAATGAGTATGATATTGAGATCGACAATTAATCGTTTAAATGAGTGACTTTAAATTGATTGTTAATTGATTGAACTGTTTTAAACCGATCAAGACTTTGGTTCAAGTTTAAGTGTACTTTTGAGGTTAAATATAATGAGATTTTAATCAATCTTGATCAAGTAATAACAATCTTTTTCCCTTCACTTCTTTATATACTTTTTCAGTTGCTCCTTGGTTGAAGGGTAATTTTTGCTGTTGATAATGATGATAATAATCAAAGCATCATCAGGCTTTCAGCTTATATTTGCAAACAAATGCAGCAACGACAATCAACAAGCAGCTGGTTTACAAAAAAAACATAATCACAAAAAAAAAGGTTATTCATAATTGATTTGTTGGGCTAATTATCATTGACAGTTTTGTCAGCTTTGCGCTGTTTTGTAACTAATTTTAATGAAAAATATAAATTAAATTGTGGGAAAGATATTATTGAGATTGGGAAAGACTCATTGATAATAAAATCAGTAATCAGAATCTGTTAATGAATGCAAATTTACTCAAACTCAAATTCAAATTGGTGATCAAGTGAAAAGCCAAAAAAAGATTGAAGAGAAAGACCAGAAATTTAGTTATCTTTTGATGTGTACGTCAAATAAATGTCAAAACCAAGTAATATCAATCTATCTAGATTGAAACCGTTTCCATCATCATGAATTCATGGTGACCATCAACTTTGTCTGTGTCCTGCTTAATTCACATCTATCACCTTATGATGACACCAAGATGATGATGAAGGCGCTGTAAAAATGATGAGAAATAAATGAAGGCAAAGAAGCACATGATTTCACGTCAAAATGATGTTCATGTTTTGTTGCTGATGATGATTATGATGATGGTAATGGTGAAGAGGGAAGAGGGAAGAGAAAACTTTTGGAAAGGAAAAGTTGTCAAAAAATAGCTTATCCATTCTGTGGATGAAATTTGACATAAATCACAATTCATAAATCAAGATTTACCTTTTTCTAGAATGACACTTTCTCATCAAACATTGACTGGCTGGATACCCATTTATTTTAAGTGAAACCTTTGAACCCACAAACGCATACAAATCAATAGTTAATCACAGTGAGAGGTAGCATAACAAATAACAATAAATATAAATATTTGATTCAAATTGTTAAATTAAACATAACATTTGATGAAAAACAAAATGGCAACTCAAGGAAATGAAAAAACAGCCAAATGAATCATCCCTTTCCCTACCAGAAAACCAACGGCGCCATTATTTGCCGGTAAAAGAGAAGGGACAATTTCATTATTACAATCTGTATAGACTATGATTATTGTATTTTTTTACAATTAACATAATAAATTAACTATTTTTGATTGAAATTTACTCTGCATTACCATTAATAATCATTATATTGTTAATAATTATCAACATGTGAATTGAAATGGTAATGTTTATCAACGGAAATTGAAATACAAATTTGAAAGGCAAGAAAAAAGTGTATTTTTTTGTTGACTGTAAATTGTTGTTAATTTAAAATCGTGATTAACTTGAGGCAAATGATCATCATTCACTTTGTATTATTTTTTGTGTGTGTGTTCATTTCAAGCTCAAAAAATATATTACATAAACTGGTAACAACATTGAAAAAGGACAACAACATTGAGAAACAATTTTTTGTTAATCATACAAACAAACGGCAATAGCAACAATTGATTATTGTATTGTTAACACGGTTGAGTTAAATTAACTTGATTTGTTTCTCTTCATCCTCATCTCCATCCCATCATCATCATCCTTTTGCACGCAAGTTAATCATGAAGTTATGAACGCAAGAACAACAAAAAAAAGGTGAATGAAAATTAAGATTTGGTTAACCTTAATCAATATTAAACCAGTGAACACAAAAATACTGAACAGTTAAAAACGTTTTTTTCCCTGCAATTCACAATAATGACTATCGCCAAATGATAACAAGAAAGGAAGACGAATACCATGATGATAATGATGATCAACTGATCCATCATCATCTCAACAGGATTGTACATCATTTAAACTATTTACTGTGGATGTAAAATATCAATTTACCTTGAGGATAAACAAAGTCACTTTTGTTGTTTTGTGTTTCTCCTCGTTACCGGTTTTCTCATTGTATTTTAACTAACATTGATTGATTTAATGATATCATTGTTGTTAACTGTTGTTTGTTAAGTTAAACCTTTCAGGTGAAAATGATTATTAATGGTTAACTAGTTAATCGTTTTGTTTGAAATTTTGGTAAAGTTACCAGTTTTTTGCCTGGTTTTAAAGGTTTACCAGTAAAAAGGCATTTTCAATTCAAGAGTTGAATGGTTTTTTGGGTAAATGAGATTTTATTTGTTTTTCAATTTGACCAGAATCTTTTGTTTCATCATGATTTAGGTTCAACAATTTGCTTATCAACCCATTTAATATTAAATTATCTGTTGCATTTCAATGATTAAATCTAATTGGGATCAATTGACATCATTTGAGGCTAATTTTTCAAGATTTAAAAGATGACTATCTAAATGTAATGGCAAAGATTTATTAAAAGGCGATTGATGGTCAATAATTGAGTGAATCAAGGGACGAGAAGAAAGATGATCAAGATGAGGATCGACATGAAGATGAGCTAAAATGAAGATGATGGTGGTGAAAATGGTGATCAAATTGTGAAACTGAAATGATACTTATGCCATTATTATGATGATTATGATTACTATTGAAAGGAGAGTGGGAAGTTGAGCTTTGAAAGGAGGGAGAAAAGGCCAAGTGAAAATTTACCCCCAGGTAAAACTGGGGCTGTCAAAGTAACAATATTCACAAATTTTACCTTTAAGCCATTTTAATGTTCAAATCTCAAAGGAAACAAGAAATCATCATTCTTATTTACTTTCTTTTTTATCATCATTCCTCTCATTCTCAGTCTCTGTACATTATAATAAGTATTAAGTATTTTTCATCAAATTTTAATGACATTTTGATGGAAGAAGACGATCAAGATGAGAGATGACAAACGGCCAAAGATGATGCCTCATCATGATGATGGTTTCATGTCAAAACGGTTTATTCATTTAATATTAAATGTTAAGTAATTTTCGCGTTCTCTTCATGGTGACAAATCAATGATGAATTGAACATTTAATTGAAGATATTCATCATCATTTATATTGACTATCTATCAGTGAACGTTGGATGTAACTTTGAAGCAAAAAATTAAGTAACTTGAAAGACCAGAAAGACTTGAAATAATTGTTAATCAGTAATAATTAATTTAACTTTTGCTCTCCTTTTTTCCCAAACTCTAATCACACGAAAAGGTATAAATTTAATTATCACTTGTGTGTATCAAGTTATTAACACAACACACATGAAACTTTATCATAATCTTGAGAACCAACTGAAACTTGATCAATTTTGATCAACCTGAAACCTGAAGAAACAGAAAGGTTGAAAAGTTAATTTTGACTTCAATTGATTAAAATGTCAGCAAATAGGTAAGCAAATTGTGAGGAAAAAAATTGAGAAAAAAAATCTTTTCTTTTCTTTCCAACATTGAGTTGATTGGAAAGATTCAATTGAGGACAATTGGAAACTCGAGGAATTATCTGAATTTTTGCAAAATGAATTTGCAAATTAAACAAATCTGAAAACTGAAAGCTCAAGAGACTTTTATTCAATAATAATGAAAAGATGAAACAGAAAAAAAGTTGAGGGAATCAGATTGGGAGTGAAAATGGGAGTTTTGTTTGCATTCCTGGTTTAAGAAATAAAAGTTAAACATTTTTTTACTCCACGTAGAGTTGATAACTTTTTCTGATTCCGTTTTTTCTCCTTTGAATGGTGAAAATTTACACCGAAAGAGTTGATGAGACAAAAAGGGGATGAAAGTGGGAGTCGAATGATATTATAACTTAAAAATGGGATCGATATTTTGGTTGTAATTTTGCTTTCATTATTTTCCTTTCTTTCCAGCTTTTTCTTGAGTTGTATTGAGGAGTTGAAATTGATAAGAAATGACAGGGAATAAGAAGATTTTGATGTTGATGATGTTGATGTTGATGATAATGATGATGAGTAGGAATAAAGAGGGCGCTAGAATGGATGATAAGCAACGAGTTACGGTTCATCATTGGAAGCAATTTGTCCCTTGAGAGAAGTTGATGAATACTCTTTTCTTATTCTTTTAGCTTAACTTGTCTTTTCTTTTTCATGATGATGATGATGATCATTATTATTATGATCATCATCATCATCAATGGTGGTTGTTTAACTGAACAAAAATAATATGAGCAAATATATCATTGAAAGTCATCATCATTATGAGTGAGCTGCTTTTAAATTGGCCTCCTTCTGATTCTTGATTAAGTCACCAAGTCGTTAAATGATAAAAATCAATACACAGTTTAGATGAAAATAAATGTTCATTTCATTATTATCTTCATGGAGAGTGATGAGAATGATGGAAATAATGAGAGTTATGATGATAACGAATCAACGATACAATTGATTACAATGTTTTTGTTTTCAGTTTCAAATCTTTTTCATGTTAATCGCATTTTCCCTGCTTTTTTGCATTCTACATTTCAATGAATTTTATCATGGATCAATGATGTCAACAAAAATATACAAAGATGAGTAAAGATGAGTAAAGATTAAAACTCGCTTCTTTGTCATTCAAAATATTATGATTATTGCTGTTTGATTGATCTTACAATGTTTGTTTTGTTCAACAGCAAATTTCAAGCCTGTCAGTGGTTTGATTGAAACATTTTTTTCTTGCTTTTTGACTCAAAATTTACCTTTTTTCAACACCTGAAATGATGTAAAGTTGTTTAAAAAAGCTACGATTATGTATCAATAATTGTGACTCTAATTGAATCTAACAACTTGATGTTTGATTATCTTTAACCAAACTGAATGAAATGGTTTTGATTCAACAAAATTGCTCACTTTTATTGAATAAAATTCAGAATGAAAAGCAAGAAAATTTATTCAATACAGAGTGTTTCAAAATATTGTGAATGGTTGACTTGTGCATTTCTTACTCTCAATTGAAACTGATTGTTCAGAGTTTCAACTTTTATATTTTATAAAGATTCAACTAAATAGAAGTTTTAAATACAAGTTCATCAAATGTTATTGATTCTGATGAAAGGTACACAGGTGCATTCATCTTCAGAATCGATATGCTCTCTGATCCGATTGTAATGGAGGCTTAATTTAGTTTGCCAAATTCAATTTGTTCAGCAGCTATTGCAGCTCGATGAACTGTTGATCGATGAAATGGTTCACTCGTTTAAGCTGTAAACTACTATTAAGTCCAAAAATCACGAAAATCATTCAAAGACTTCTTCGGATTCGATGATAAACCGACTTATATCTTTATATCGAGACAAAATTTTGCAAGGATTGAGCTGATTCTCATAAAACATCGTTAATTCAACTAAACCAATGCTGCAATTACAATCCTCTTTAAGGGTTTGGACAAGCTCTTAATCAACTTAAGATAATTAACCGCAATAACGAACACATTGTAACAATTTGATTCTGCTAAAGGGTTGAGAATTTTTTCTCTTTGATTTCATTATCAACCTTTCTTGATTAGTATATTTTTTGAGTTGCTATTTGATTTTTACGTTGCAATTATTGAGTTTGATCTTGGAGTGAACATTTGATTTGATTGTTGGCCAAAAACGTAGGATTGATTGAATATTAAATATTGTCGGATGAAAAGAAAGGTTAATAAAGATGAAGAATGATTGAAGCCAAAGAGGCAATAAGATGACATTTTGACAATGTTTGATGTTCGATTGTCGATCAATCGATATGTCAGATAAATTTCAGATCATCATTGAGATAAACAGTAATAACAAGAAGAACATCAAGAGCTTATTTCTGATGTTTTTGTTTCATCTTCTTCATCTTGTTGTCTTCAAAGGACGATATAAAGATGAAGAAGATGATGGTTAAAGATGATGACAATAGATTCCTCGATGTTCCAATAAAATTGTATACATTCATCAATCTATTGCTCTGTTTTTCTTGTCTTTCAACTTTTTTCTTCTTCTTCTTCTTCTTTGAGTATTTTGTTTTCTCATCATCAACATCATTTCCCCATCTTCATCATCTTCATCCATTCCTGTTGACCTACAAAAAGGTTCATAGAATCATGTTCAATACCATTAATATCAATCCTCTTCACCTTATGTTAAAGTTACATGTT